TATAATCCCAGCACTTGAGAGGCTGCAGGCAGGGCACGGCCAGGTCAAGGCTGGCCTGGAACACAGAGTGGGACCCTATTAAAAAGAATGAAATAGGGGTTAGTTCAAGTTGTTCCCGGCTGGTCAGCCAGCTAGTCCTGTACTACTGGCTAGGTAGTCCCCTTCCGCTGCCATCCTCTCACTCTTGGCACCACATGGCTGAGTATAGCCTCTGTCCCCAAGGAGACAGAGAACCAGAGAACCAGATCAGAGGCACAGAGAGCCCTGCTTCTCTGCTGGAGTCAGTAGCCTTCCAGCCCCGAGAGAAAAGTAGGACGTTCATTCGATGCCTTTAAAAGAAAGACGATTCTGGGGAACCCCCGGGGGGAGCGGAATCATTCTACCCTGCGGTAGTGACACAACCACACACGTATTTCCAGATAGACACATGCACGTAGCGCACACGTACGCTGAGTTGTCTGCTTTGCTTTGCTTTTAGTCTTGGAGTCTCAAAATGTAGACCCAGTTGGCCCGGGACTTGCTGTGCGGAGCAGACCAATGTCGAAGTTGTGGCAATCCTCCTGCGTCTGCTTCCCACGCGTCAGGGCTACAGGAGTTTGCCCCCACACCTGGATCAGGTAGAGGCAGCCGTTGCTCTCAGGCCCGGAATGATAGAAACTCCAAGAATTCCAGCACTCAGGAGGCTGAGGGAAAGTGACTGTGCATTCTAGGACAGCCCATGTTACATCATGAAAGCTTGTCTCAAAAAGCAAATTAAGAGATAAACACATAAACAACAGCAGGAGCTACAGGAATAAGATGGAGCTAACATCTCAAAACTAACAAGTCCTTTACCTTAATTTTTTATTAAGTGTGCCCACAGAGTCCAGAGGAGATGTGGGGGCCGGAGTTACAGGAGGCTGTGAGCACCCCCAGTGGGAGTTCTCTGTACCAAACTTGGGTCCTCTGCAAGAGCAATGCATGCTCTTAACTGCCGAGTCCTCTCTCCAGCTCCTCAAGTCCTTCCAAAAGGAAAAAACAAAAAACAAAACAAAACCACACACAAAACACTAGGGGGGGTGCACAGACCTTTAATCCCAGCTCTGGGGAGGCAGAGGCAGGTGGATCTCTATGAGTTTGAGGCCAGGTTTGTTTACAGAGTGAGTTCCAGGACAGCCAAGGCTACACAAGGCTGTCTCGAAAAAAAATTTTTTTCAGAAGAACCCCAAGAATGTATCTACAAGATTCCAACTCAAAAAACAAACAAACAGACAGAAGCCAATGATGTATTCTACAAGCATCTTCCGGTATCAAGTTAATACATGCTCCCGGACGTTTTCGTGGGCTCTAAGGTTCTCCCTTAGGGGCTGGAGAGACTAGGCGAGTAGGAATTGCTCCTGCTCTTTCTGGGGGCTGCAGTTTGGTTCCCAGCCCGCGCTGGGTGGCTCGAAACCCCCTGCAATCTATCTCCAGGGACTCTGGAGCCCTTGTCTTGCTTCCACAGGCACACACACACACACACACACCCCACAAATAAAAACAAAACCTTTTTATTGTATTTTACTTTTTATTATGTGTAGGAGTATTTTGCCTGCATGTACGCCCATGCGCCACCTGTGTGCCTGGTGTCTGCACCGAGCCCTCCCCTCCGTGTGGGTGCTAAGAATTAAACCTGGGTCCTTGGATGCAACAAGTCCTCTTAACCACTGATTCTACTCTTTGCCCCCCCACCCCCGCAAATAAAAATAAAATCTTTAGAAAGACATTTTAAAGGAATTTTCCTGGAATTGGAGGTGGGAATGTTGTTTACCAAGGAGGCCGAGGCAACCTGAGCAACATAGTAAAAACTCATAAAAGGCGGGGGGGAGAGGTGCGTGAGGAAAAAGGGCTGGGGTGAAGGAAAGAAAGAAGGAAGGCAGAAAAAGTGAGAGTGGGAGAGAGGGAGGGAGGAAGTGAGGGAGGGAAAGAGAGAGGGAAGGAGGAAGAGAGAGATCACCCAGACTAAAAGACCTGTCTGTAAGGCAGGCCTCAGAGCCCTGGCATGTTTGGGGTTGAGGTCTCCTTCAGACAGTACCATACAGCAAAGCTGTGCATTACTCCTTTGCCACACTGTCTCTTCTGTCTCCCTGTTTCTCTCCTTAGAGAAGCCTGGGTTTGTCAGGCTTCAGGCAACAGAATGTGATCACCACTTTATCTTATTCCTTAATTGAGTTTTTCCCACAAATAAGTTTTACAGTTGTGTTAGGAATTTTTAAAGCCAGGCAGCGGTGGTGCACGACTTTGATCCCAGCACTCGGGAGCAGAGGCAGGAGGATCTCTGTGAGTTTGAGGCCAGCCTGGTCTACAAAGCAAGTCCAGGACAGCCAAGGCTACACAGAGAAACCCTATCTCAAAAAAAACAAAACAAAACAAAACAACTTAAAAAAATTATTATTAAAGTAGATCATTCTGAAAACAGATTTTTAAAGTTATTTTAGTTTTTCACAGTTGTTTATTTATTTAGAGAAAGTATCTCTCTGTTATGTAGCTCTGGCTGGCCTTGTTGCTATGTAAACCAGGCTGGCCTCGAACTCACAGAGATACACCTGCCTCTGCCTCCCAAGTTCTGGAATTAAAAGTGGGTGCCAGTAAATACCTAACAGGGCAGGTGGCCATAGCCACATGGCCTGCCACGTGCTGTAGGGTCCCAGCACCCCAGCTGAGATAGACTTTGACCCGGCTATTCCCAAACTGTCCTCCTAGAATGCTGTCCACCCTTTTCTAGGGAGCTGCAGGGCTAGAAAGAGGCTGCCGGGGCCCGAAGGCCAGCCACCCTACCCTGCAGACTAGAATGCACAGGGGTGCTCATCCCATCCAGCCCGGTTCTCTTTCCTCCGCCTGACCCTTCAGACCGCGAGCCAGGACCACGTTGAAACCCAAGCACCACAAGAGCGAAGTGGAGGAAGAAGCAGACGCGCAGGCTGAAGCATGAGAGAAGAAAGATGAGGCAGAGGTCCAAGTAAATTAGCTTGTGCACCGCAAAGGATGCAGCACCAACGAAAGAGATGCTGAAGGCTGGGACGCTGGTGCAGGTTGTTGCTCTGTACGCTGCTGTACACTGCGATATTGTCTCAATGGACTTGGAACACCACCTCGACGAGACCACCTGAGAACCTGGCTGCCTTCCCTACAATCAAAACAGTCTGCTGGCCCTCTGCCCTGGCCCTTTGGCCTTCTGAACTAGTTCGCTTGTGGCCAAGTGTAACTCTTGTACAGTAAATCATCTTTCTTAATGTCTTTGCTGAAGAATCAAAACAAACAGGTAACTAAGGCTGAAGAGTATAGGAGGCTCCCAGCTTTCTCCCTAGCTCTGTCCCACCAGGCTGTGATCTCAAGCAGGGCATCCAGCCTTTCTGAGGTTATTCTCCACTGGAAAATGTGGTATATGTTGGGCCAGTGGGTAAAGATGGTTGCTGTATAAGTGTGACAGCCTGAGCTCAGACCCCAGAACTCACAGTGGGAGGAAAGAACCAACTGCCAAAAGTTGTCCCCTCCCCTCCACATGTGTTACATAGCATGCACTAAAAACAAAACAACAACAAAACAAAAAACAGGGGCCCGGAGCAATGGCTCAGCGGTTAAGAGCACTAGCTGCTCTTCCAGAGGTGCTGAGTTCAATTCCCACCAACCACATGGTGGCTCACAACCATCTATCCTGGAATCTGATGCCCTCTTCTGGTGTGCCTGCATACATATAGATAGAACACTCATACTTTAAATAAATAAAATCTTAGGGAAAAAACAGTTATTGTGTATGGGTGCATGCTTGTGTATATGTGTGCAGGCATGTGTGTGAACTTTTGTAATGTGGCAGAGGCTGTGTCAATTACATTAGAAGACAAGTCCCTCTAGTCTGACCCCACATACCAGCTCTTGGTTCAATGTAACTCTTGCCAGAGGCCTCACGTGGCCCTTTTCCCCAAAGGCTAATTCTGTGTCAGAGGGGCAGGACTAAATCATAGTTAGGCGTGGTGGTACACACCTGTGATCCCCTGAGAGCTGAAGAAGGAGGACTTGCATGAGTGGCAGACCATCCTGGGCTACCAGTAAGACCCAGTTCAGAAAAGCAAAAATGGGGCGTGGAGAGATGATGGCTGAGCAGCTAAGAGCACTTTCTGCTTTTGCAGAGAACTCAGGTCTGGTTCCCAGCACCCACATAGCAGCTAGCAACTGTCTAAAGTCCAGTTTTGGAAGTCCCAGATCCCTTCTGGCTTCTGCACAAATATAGACTCAGGCTAAACACCCATACACATTTTTTAAAGATTTATTTACTTATTATGTATACAATGCTCTGTCTACATGTACACCTAAATGCCAGAAGAGGGCACCAGATCTCATTATAGGTGGTTATGAGCCACCCTGTGGGTGCTGGGAATTGAACCCAGGCCCTCTGGAAGAGCAGCCAGTGCTCTTAAACTCTGAACTATTACTCCAGCACCACCCCCCCACCCATACACATTTTTAAAAGCAAAAATAATAGTAATAATTCAGGGGAGGAGCAGACACTCCTCCACCTTCCACCCAGCCCAAGAGCACAGAGGACATCTCCCTGGGCTGTGCTGTCAGGTTTGGGCCCCATCAGAAAACACAATTTTGCTCCATGCATGATTTGTCTCACCACACCCAGAATTTGCCTGGGAGCCTCATCTACTGTCTTCCTGAGCATACAAACCCTGAAGGCAGGCTGCAGAGGGAGTCAAGGGAAGGCAGGGCCCATTTGCCTAGAGGTGCTTCGGTCTGGCTGGTCACAGAGTGACACACCCCACCGAGAGGGGGGTGGCGATCACCTGGCGAGAGGTGTCTTTAGAGAAAGCCCGCATCTCCCTTCAGTCTCCATTGTGCTTTGGAGGATGCATGCGGCCTTTTCTGTTGTGCACTGTGGCTCTAGGAAGAAGAGAGACCCCCTCCTGTGGAACCCAGGCCCGCCACTGAGTAACCAAGCCTCGGTGTCACACCCACAGCTTCGTCCACACAGCTGCAGCCATGGATCGGTTCCGAATGTTCTTCCAGCCCCTGCAATCCAGCTCTGAGTCAGTGATGAATGGCATTTGCCTCTTGCTGGCTGCGGTCACAGTCAAGATGTACTCCTCCTTCGACTTCAACTGCCCCTGCCTAGCTCGCTACAATGCCCTCTATGGCCTGGGCCTGCTGCTCACCCCCCCTCTGGCCCTCTTCCTCTGTGGTCTCTTGGTCAATAGGCAATCTGTAGTGATGATGGAGGAGTGGCACCGGCCGGCAGGGCGCCGGAGGAAGGACCTGGGCACCATCAGGTAGGCTGGCAGATTCCTCTCCACTGCCCAGGGCAGCTGATGCTATTGGGTGTTCCTTTTCTTGCTCCAGATGGTGCTCGACAACCAAAGATGTTCTGCTCGGTTTCCGGTTCCCATCAGGAAACATGTCTCTGTGTGTGTGGAGGCCAGAGGACAGGTTTCAGGGGTCAGTTCTCTCCTTCCACCCTATGGGATCTGAGGATTGAACTCAGGTCATCAGTCTTAGCCCGTTACCCTCACTGCTGGTCCATCTGGCTGGTCCTGAGGATAAGTATTTTGTTCCTATTGTTTTTCATCTTTCCACTACTGTAACCATAGGAATGAGTCAGGATTTCCAAGACTTATTCAGGTTCCATCAGTCTCATTGAGCACATAGCAGGTTTCTGTCTGTTGTGCATGCAGTGAGAGGCAATGCTTTAGTTAAAGGCTATATTTCCTTTCCTGGAAGCTTCCTGAGACAAGTAGCTGTTGTAGCCCTATGTCCCCAGGGTCTGTTGTATGCCTACAGGTCAGCTGATAAAGCTCAGCAGTTTTTAATGCCAACCAGCTGGCATGGAATGCCTACCTAGGACTAATGCCTACCTGCTGAGCACTTTGCAAGTAAGGCGTCTCTAAATTCACTTTGCTCGGCCCACTCCTTCAGCAGACCTGCTTTCCAGCATGATGAATCTTTGACAGTTAGATGTTGAGAACCCTGGCCAAGGGCTGAGGACGTAGATCAATTGGTGTAGTCCTTGCCTGGAAAGCACGAGGGCCTGGGCTGGACCCCAGCACTTCATTCTCCAGATGGGGTGGCACATTCCTTGCAAGCCCAGAACTCAGGAAGAGGAGGCAGGAGGACCAAAAGCTGAGTCATTCTCATCTACTACACAGAGAGTTAAAGGCTAAACTGGGCATTCTGGTATGTGAGCATGTGTGTGTGTGTGTGTGCACGCGCGCACACGCGCTCTCTCTCTCCCTCTCTCACATAGGTCTAGAAATCCTAGCTGAGCTCTTGGAGCTAGGAAGAGGCCACAACTGCAGGTGCAGCTCTTGCTGGCTGGAGCTGCGCGCTGGATGCCCACGGAGGCCTCCTTTCTTTGCTTCCAGGTACATGTGTTCCTCCGTGCTGCAGCGCGCTCTCGCAGCACCCCTGGTCTGGATCCTGCTGGCCCTCCTTGATGGCAAGTGTTTTGTGTGTGCCTTCAGCAACTCCGTGGACCCTGAGAAGTTTCTGGATTTCGCTAACATGACCTCCAGCCAGGTGCAGCTCTTCCTAGCCAAGGTGCCCTGCAAGGAGGATGAGCTTGTTAAAAACAGCCCTGCACGCAAGGCTGTGTCTCGATACCTGCGGTGCCTGTCACAGGTAAGGGGGGTCCTGCCCAGGCCCTCATGGAGACTGTGCTAACTAGCTCTATGTCCGTTTGATACAAGCTAGTGTCACCTGAGAGTAGAGAATCTCAATTAAGAAACTGCCTTCATAAAATGGGGCTGTGGGCCAGCCTGCCAGGCATTTCTTTTTAAATTAGTGATTGATGGGGGAGGGCACAGTCCATTATGGGTGGTGCCATCCCTGGGCTGGTGGTCCTGGGTTCTATAAGAGAGCAAGTTGAGCAATTCCTGAGGAACAAGCCAGTAAGTAGTACCCCTTCACGGCCTCTGCATCAGCTCCTGCCTCTAGGTTCCTGTCCGGTCTGAGTTCCTGTCCTGGATTCCGCTAATGAACGACTACAGTGTGGCAGCATAAGCTGAATAAGTCCTTCCCTCCCCACATGCTTTGTTGTTTCATCACAGCAATAGTAAACTTTACTGAGACAGAGCCCCTGTGTTGCTTTGGGTTTGGTGCTAAATCTGGTCCATGTGACTTCCCGAGGATGCTCCTCGCTGCTGGAGTCATAACCCAGAGCAGGAGGCATGGGGGGTTGGGACCACTGCCCTTGAGAGGCAAGCACTGGGCCATCGATACTGGCCTACCCAGAATAGGCAGCTGGTGCTGTGCCCCTGAGGGCCCCAGGAGGCGGATGGCAGAGGACTGCTGGTGACATGTAGCCTCCCACCCCAGACACACAACGTAATTGTCATTTATTGAGCGCTTCCACATCAGGTCCTGTGTTAAGCATTTCTGTGCATCTGTGTGTGTAATTCTCACAACAACCCTTTGGCATGGATGCAGGTGTTAGCATCTCATGTTTCAGAGGAGGGAGTGAGGCTCTGATAGTTTTTAGTTCACAAGGCCAAAGTCACATAACTTGTAACAGGCAAGCTCTGTTACACATGCCAAGCTCTGGGTACACACGTCAAGGTCCTTCTTAACCACCTCCTTACAAAGGAGGTTCACCAGATGCCTGGACTCCGACTGGAAACCCTCTCCACTACGCTGTAGCATCCACAGCCCCACCTCTAGCCTGGCCCCCAATTCCACCACCCTCACCAATGCCTGTGCTGGCCTGGGTTGGTCTCAGAGCATTTATGAGGCCTTTATAGACAGAGCCTCTCCAGGGCTCCAGAGAACCCTATACTCTGGAGTGAAGAATACAGAGAGGCTGGGAGAAAACACGGGCTGAAGGTATGCAGAGAGGGCCAGCACACAAGATGTAATCAGCGCCTCTGCTCGCCCAGGTTCGGCAGAAAGTGCATGGAGTTTGCAGCCAGACCAGATTCTAAGTTCTAAGTTATCAATCATGCCCAGCTTATCAAGTTTTTTTTCTCTGCTTTCATACATAAAATACTCAACTTTTTCAGTGGGGGAATTCTGTGTTGACCAAACAAGGAGATTGTGTAAATGGTGGGAGTCAAATCTACAACTGATGAGGGTTTTCATGTTTGTGGGGCTGGGAAAAACTGCAGCTTTGGGAGATGGAGAGGAAGAAAGGGGTCAGGCAGGCGTGGGCTCCAACATTAGAGAATGGCTTCCTGTTTCCCTTGATGTAGGCCTAGAACACTGTCCCCTTGTCCCTACTCCCAGCCTAAGTGCTCACAAACATCCACACAAATGAAAGAATGGGACAATGATGGACATATAGTCAAGGAGAGGAGGGGTGATTGGATGAATGGGTGGAGATACGTTTAGATGGATGAATCGGAGGATGGGTGGCAGGACAGTGCCTGGTTGGGAAATGTATAGGTGTGATAAAGGATGGGGAGAAAGCAAAGGGAGGGCCTTGGAGCGCACACCCGGTGTAACACCATCAGATCCCTCCTGCATCTCACTAACTGATACCTACCATCCTCCAGGCCATAGGCTGGAGCACTACCTTGCTGCTGATAGTGGTGGCCTTCCTAGTCCGCTGCCTGAGGCCCTGCTTCGACCAGACAGTCTTCCTACAGCGCAGATACTGGAGCAACTATGTGGACCTGGAACAGAAGCTCTTCGATGAGACATGCTGTGAGCACGCGAGGGACTTCGCACACCGCTGCGTGCTGCACTTCTTCGAGAGCATGCAGAGCGAGCTGCGCTCTCTGGGGCTACGTCGGGACCCAGCCGGTGGGATCCCAGAGTCGCAGGAGTCCCCAGAGCCCCCAGAGGACCTGGATGGTGCAATCGGGAAGGCCCACCTGCGTGCAATCTCCAGCCGGCAGCAGGTGGATCATCTCCTAAATACCTGGTACTCCAGTAGGCCACCGCTTGACCTCGCAGCGTCCCCCAGGCTCTGGGGTCCTGGCCTCAATCACCGCACCCCTATCGCTGCTCCGGGCACCAAGCTGTGCCACCAGGTCGATGTATAGGGATCTTGTGAGGCTCAGTTTTCCCATGTCAAATGCCCATGTTAGCACAGCCTCTTATGCTGGCCTCCTTCCCAGATAGCCCTGTATCTGCCTAGTTTCTGGGAATGTCCTGCTGTGTGGACACCATTCCTTCTGGGCCCTGAGCAAGTTCAGATTCTTATTCAGTGTGTTCAGGACTGAGTCCCTTTCCTTTCCTTTTCCCTTTCTTTTCTTTCCTTCTTTCCTTCCCTCCTTTCTTCCTTTCTTTCTCTCTCTTTTCCTCCCCTTCTACTTTCTTCTTTCCTTCTTTCCTCAACCACCCCATCTCTTTCTGAGGAAGAGTCACACTTCAGCTGTCTAGCTGAAGTTGGCCTTGAACTCCAGGACTAATAAGAATGGCTAGCCTCCTGCCTCAGGCTCCCTTAGTGTTGGGATTACAGGTGTGAGTTACCACTCCCTGGTTTCCAAAATTTTATCTCCAACAAGCCCCCATACTAGACTGTTTCTTCTGGTCAGTGGACCAAACTTTGAGCAGCCACAGTCAGAATAAATCCGTTGTGGATCCGGGTCATAGACATTGATTCCAAATCTTAAAAAAAATCATCATAATAGTGTCACATGCCTGATTTCATTCAGTCAATCTTGGTGTGAAATCTGGTGAAGAAGGGATGATTACTAGCACCCCCTTTAAATCACATTGATTGATTGTGTGTGTGTGCCTGTGTGTGTGTGTGTGTGCGCGTGCGCGCGCGTGTGTGTGCGTGTGCGTGCATGTGTGCCTTGCTTTGTGTCTAGAGATCAGAGGACAACTTGTAGGAGTCACCCCTCTTGCTCTATCATGTCTGTCTCAGAAATCAAACTCAGGCCTCAGGCTTGGCAATGGTGCCTTAACCTGCTGAGCCATTGAGTTGTTCTTTTTTTCTTTTTTTAGGATTTGTTTTATTTTATGTGTAGGAGGAGGCGGTGAGTATGAGCACATGAGTGCCCACAGAGACCGGAGGTGTTGTATCCCCTGGAGCTGGAGTTACAGGCAGTTGTGAGCTGCCTGGTATAGGTGCTGAGATTTAGGCTTGGGTCCTTGGCAAGAACAGGATGGACTCTTAACCACTGAGCCATCTCTTTAGCCCCACCCCCTTTTAAAGCCTTGTTCTGTAGTCCTAGCTGGCCTGGAGCTCTCAGTGATCCTGCTGATTCAGCTTTATGCTTCCTGGGATTGCCAGTGTGCCAGCACACCCCAGGGACAAAGAGACAAATTTTCTCTCCTTCCTTACCATATCTCCTTGTACACGTTTGTGTGTGTGTGCGTGCGTGCGTGTGTGTTAAATATGATCCAATGAAACTTAGCTGGCCTTCAACTTTCTGTCTAGCTGAAGATGACCTTGAACTCCTAACCTTCCAACCTCTACTTCCCAAGTTCTGGGATACAGACGTGCACTGTGCTTCGTTCACGCAGTGCTGGAGATGGAACAAAGTGCTAAGTGAGCACTTTACCTACCGCCGAAGCTCCATCATCAGATCATTGTTTAAAAGAGAAAACTAAACCAAAAAGGTGTTGAAGTTGCCCAGGGTCGCCAGGGTAGGAGCTGGTATTGAATCCCAGGACACTGGTCTCTGGGTTTTATTCTGAGCCGTGACACCAGCTTACTCTCTAGGCCTTTCTGATTGTCTTTCGGTGCCCTTATTGGGTTTCTTGCTTTTCTACCAGGGTTCTCAAGGTAGGTTCTAGCAAATCATGCTTGGTAAATTAGTTCTCATGGAAAGCCTTAGGTCCTGACTCTTCGTGGCCATTCCAGAGGTTTCTATTTTGCAGACTGGGGATATAGCTCAGTTGGGAGATATAGCTCAGTGGGTGGAATGTTTGCTCAGCGTGAATGAGGGTTCAGTCCTCAGCACTGTCTAAACTGGACATGGCATGCACACTTGGATCCAGCACTCAGGAGGTAGAGGCAGGAGGAGCAGATGTTTGAGGTCATCCCTAGCTACAAAACGAATTCAAGGCCAGCCTGGGCTACATAAGACCCTGTCTCAAAAATAAATAGATCGGACTGGTGAGATAGCTCTGAGACTAAAGGAATCAGCTGCCAACCCTGAGGACCTGGATTCAGTGCTCAGGATCCATGTGATAGCAGAGAAGCATCTCTTGCAAGTTGCCCTCTGACCTCCACATGCACTCCAGGCGGCGTGCACACACCACTTTCCCAACACAGGATAAACACAATTTACCTTGTGGAATCAAGAGGAGGTGACCTCCATAGCCCCCAGTTCCCAGCAGTTTGTTTGGAGCTGGCCAAAGCTAAGGCTGGTCCAGGCTCTTTTGAGCCCAGACTTCTGCTCTCCAGCTGGCAGGGCTGCCTCCCTCGCCTTTCTACCACCATCTCTGCTGCTCACTGCCTGAATCCCTAGTCAGCACCATCCCTTCTCGGGTGGCCCCTCCCCCTGTTAGCAGCACCCCCAGCCTGGTAAGGCTGTCTCCAGAACCAGGTGGGGTCCAGCAGAGGAACAAAGCCTGTGAAACACCACTGATGTTGGAGCTGCTAGAAAAGTCACTAGTCTGTGGCAGCCCAAACGGGAAGAGGCGGAGAAAGAGCAAGCCAGTCCTCTGAACCTCCTCCAGACCCTGATGACTCACTCGCGCCAGAAAGCAAAGCTAGGTTTACTCCAGTCTCTTCTGCTTCCTCGGGGCCGTGGGCAGTGTAGGTGCCCCTCGATGGCTCCTGGAACCTGGATCCCTCCATTAAGCAGTTTCTACTCCTTGGGTTCTTGCTAAGGGACCTCGTGAAACCCAGTAAAACCAGAAAATCCCTGTAGCTCAGCTTCCCCTCCCCACCCTCCACTTCCTGACTGTGGTCAGGCCATGCAAATATCTGCATGCGACATGATTTAGGCAAATTGATAACAGCAACTGTGGGAGAGAATGGAAAAAGAGCTTGATGCTAGCCCAGCCTGCGTGGGTGAGCTCCTGCCCTGGGAAAGGATGGCTGCCCTGGGCCCCGGGGACTATTAAAAAGCCACCAACTGTAATCAGCACACCTTCCTTCTCACACTGAGCATTTATAGAGCACCTCCTGCATAGGGCCCTGTAACAGAAAACGTTGAAAGAGATACTTCATAGGCTACTCCAAGGAGATCACTGTTTAAGGGACAGAGCTGGACACAGAAATGTTGACAGTCTGAGGCCAACAGTGCAACATAACAGAGGCAAACCATGTACCGGAAGCTTTCTGGGGTCACAGTGAAGCTCTAGACTGAGTGATGGTTGCGATATTACGTGACTGGGTCTTAAAGGATGGGACCGTTCTGTGACAACTGGAAAGCAAAATGAAGAGAAAACAGCAAAGACACAGCATGAAGCCGGCAAAGGGCGGAGCCCATTGCATATTCTCGTGAAGCGGATTCTCATGGGGTCCTGGGGGCTCAGAGTACAAGTGCAAGAGGGACACTGTCGTCTCTTTTCGTATATTCTGGGCTGGAGCGGAAGGTAGGGGCATGAAGAGTGAACTCACAACCAAACAGCAGGGTGCCTGTGCAATATGGCAGAAGTGAAGGCCATAGGCCAGAACCTGAGAAGTCTGCCAAGCGACAGCCCCTGAGCCCAGCGTCACCTTCTCTGGACTCTCCTGCCTTACAAGGTATCTCTCACCCTCTTTAGGCCCCAGTCCATACAGCTGCAGGGCCCCCAAGCTCTCTGCCACCACCCACCCACACTACCTATTGCTCCCTTGCAGGTGTGAGATGCCTGAGATACAGGTGCCCCCCCCCCCCAACTGAGAGTCAGGGACACAGAGCTGGCTCCTGAAGAACCTTCCGTTCAAGGAGCGGAGCTATCTTGGGGGCCCAGACACATTCCTCAAGTCCCAGCCAGTCCGGGATTGCAGCCCCTGACCCTGTCCTATACCCAAGGGCATGTCTTCGTTTTATGCAGCCTGGGCACTCGAAGCCTCCACATCTACTCCCAGCCTGGGAGGGAAGGGGTGTGGGAAGTCCCAGAGAGTACTTAATACTTTGTACCATGTTCAAAGGCAGCAAGGCAAGTACTTAGTGGCAAGGTGGAGCGGGAGGTGCTAGCTGGGACTTGTCTAGGGGAAGGGATGCTGAAGGCTGCAGGAGTGGATAGGGCTGCTGAGAGACTGGCTAGTGTGAGGGCAGGCAGCATTTAGGATAAGGAAGAGGATCAGCGAAAGAGAAAAAGGAGCAATCAGGAAGCAGATAGTGCAGAGACAGGCCAGCAAGGTAAGGGGGTCCAAAGCGGGGCCTGTAGGACCCATGTCCCGTCCAGAATTATAAAGGAAGGTTAGAGGCTTCGACCCTGTCCCAGTGGTCCTGACACACATCCCTGTGTGGGAAAAGATTGGACAGAGGACCGTGAGGGAGGCAGAGGAACCGAATCATAACCACACTAATTGCCTCCACTTTGGAAAGCCTCCTAGAAAATGAAGGCACTCTGCTGTGTGTCCAGCTGCACCCAACCCCTCTCCTTCCTCGCTTTGTGGGCTCTTTGGGGCGAGGTGAGGGTTGGGGTTGAGGACCCTGTCCCTGAAGGTCTAGGGGAAACCATTGGGAAATGGTCTGGAGTCAGAGGTGGTAGCAGAACAGAGGTGACACTGGGCTGCCTGCCAGTAGCAGCTGTCCTGGCAGGGAGCTCTGAACCCTCACCAGGCCCTTAGCCCTCTTCTTCCCCCATCAAGGCAAGTCTCCTGTTTGGATCTGAGTTCCTATCTCCCCTCAAGTTCATCCTCTGATCACCCATTTGAGTATTCACTCAGCACTTATTAACTGAACCTCTATTAAGTACCAGGTACAGTGTTCTCAGTATAGAGTAATGAACAAGGAGGCTAGAATGATGGCTCAGCTCTTAAGAGCACTGGCTGCTCTTGCAGAGGACCTGGGTTCGGCTCCCAGCACCCACTTGGCCACTCATAACTGTTTATAGTCTGTAACTCCAGTTCCAGGGAACCCAATGCCCTCTTCCAAGGGCACCAGGCACTCATGTGGTACATATATATGCATGCAAACAAAATGCTCATACATGTAAACTATAATATCCTCTAAAAAATAATTGTCAAGAAAACGAATGCAGAGTTTTAGCCTGCATGGTCCAAGGGGAGCCCCAGATATGAACATCCTCCTAGCATAGCTAGGTTTGAAATAAAGAGGCTGGGGAGGCAGCCCTGGCAGCAGCTGAGACCCTCCTCTTCGGTGCCTATCAATGCGGCAACACAAATCCAGGGAGAGACAGACACACCTCCGCTGGAGCTCCCTCCCGCTGCTCCCTTCTGTCTTCTGGAGGAGTCCCTAACAGTCTTCCAGGGGCCCCCAACCCAGGGACTCCAGTTGTCCTAGGGACACCTAGCCTTATGGCTGAGGGAAGCAAAATTCTTCCCCACAAGACTACTTGTGAGACAGTAGTCTTTCCACTCAATAGACAAACTTAATCCAACCAGAAGATAAATTAAAACAGAAACAAACACTTTTCCTGCCTTCCTTCACCCCACACTCCTACCCACAAGTGCTAGCCTGGGCTCAAATCCCACTTCTCCACCTATGACCTGGGTGGCCTTTAGCTAAGATCAGCCTCCCTGAGGCTCAGGCCTCACTTGTGGCCTGAGTAATGAAAATCCTATCCCACAGGGTTGTACGAGGGCTACACAATGCACTTAAGGTGCACACAGGTCAGCTGAGGCCTTGACAGTTCTTGTCAGAAATACAGATGCAGGCAGAAGACCGCTAATGTGGTTCCACACACACTTGTGCACACAGACAAACCGCAATGAGCACACGCACAGTCAGAAACACAAGATGACCTTGCTGACATCCAACCTCTCCTTGCCCCAGACAAGGAGTCATCTGCCTGGATCTGGATCTGACATGCCTGTCTGAAAGCTGCAGGATCAAAGGGAGCCTTCCCCTTGGGTGGCTCAACAGAGAAACTCTGAGCATGGAACACCATGCCTGTGGGTCAGGGGTGCAGAGGTAGAAGAGGAAACCCTGGGAAGGGTTTGCCACCCACAACTCACAGACACAGACATCCACAGAGACATAGAGACAAAATGGGCTGAAACCCTAACTTAGGCAAACCGTCCAATCCAACTCCAACGCCAGCGCCAACTGGGATGGCACAAACCTGCAAGCCCAGAGTCTGGGGGACTCAGACAAGATGATAGGGCACAAGCCTGAACTCCAGCATCTGGGGGTCATACAAGACAATCAGGAGTTCTGGATCTTTGTTGGCTACATGGTGAGTTGGAGACCTTGTTTTAAAAAAAAAAAAAGGAAAGAAAGAAGAAAGAAAGAAAGAAAGAAAGAAAGAAAGAAAGAAAGAAAAAGAGAGAGAGGAAGGAAGGAAGGAAGGAAGGAAGGAAGGAAGGAAGGAAGGAAAAGAAAATCCTCTAAGTCCAGCTTGTTTTGCTGTGTGCCACAATCACATCGCCAGCTCCACCCCTGCCACCTCTGCCATCCCTACTATGAGTTAACATCCAGCTACTGCTGCCTGCTACAGCCTCTGTCACCACCATCATTTCCATGTCCTCTTATTGTCATTGTCTCAACTGACTGAGGAGCTCCCTGGGGTCCTGGCATCCATCGTAGAGACAGCTCAGGAGAGGGCACAGGAGACAACATGCTTCCCCAGAGCCCAGCGACCTCTCAAATTCCAGCCTGTCTGCACCTCCTCCTCCCTCCCACACCCAAAGAAAACTGCTCCTCTGCTCCTCATAGGGTGCAGCTTTCTGGATCTCTAGGCTGCAGGCAGCTGGAGAGAAGGGGAGGGAAGCCAGAGGGAGGGACACAGATGCGGCTATACCTACGGGATTGGTCAAGTTGCACCCTCTCTACCAACACCTGTTTAGAAGGCTCCTCAAAGAGTGACCTCATCAACTGCCCTGAGCTTTGTCCAGCCAGGAGAGCCCAGTCATGAGGTGGATGCCCAGTGGATGGAGTAGCCTCCTGGAGCTGTGCGGGACGACACAGTGAGAGCGGAAGAGGCTGAGGAACCCCGAAAGACACAATGGACAAGTTTCGGATGATCTTCCAGTTTCTGCAGTCCAACCAAGAGTCCTTCATGAATGGCATTTGCGGCATCATGGCGCTGGCCAGTGCCCAGATGTATTCTGCCTTTGACTTCAACTGCCCCTGCTTGCCTGGCTACAATGTGGCCTACAGCATGGGCATACTGCTGACGCCTCCCCTGGTGCTCTTCCTGCTTGGCCTAGTCATGAACAACAACATATCCATGCTAGCCGAAGAGTGGAAGCGCCCCCCCGGTCGCAGGGCCAAGGACCCAGCCGTGCTGCGCTACATGTTCTGTTCCATGGCCCAGCGAGCTCTCATCGCGCCTGTCATCTGGGTGGCTGTCACACTGTTGGATGGCAAGTGCTTCCTCTGTGCCTTTTGCACAGCTGTGCCGGTGGCCACGCTAGGCAATGGCAGCCTGGTGCCTGGCCTGCCTGCTCCAGAGCTTGCTCGCCTGCTGGCTCGGGTACCCTGCCCTGAGATCTATGACGGGAACTGGCTGCTGGCCCGAGAGGTGGCCGTGCGGTATTTGCGCTGCATCTCTCAGGTGAGGGGGCTGGGTCTCCTCACAGGCCAGGGTCTCTGTGGGAAGATCCCTCCTCGAAGTGGGGTTTCCCCTCAGACGGCTGTGGGTGGAGGCATTCGATCCTAGCTGAGACAACGCAGAGCCCACCTGGAGAGCGTGGATGGTTCTCCACCTCCTCCATCCTGAGCTCAGAGTTGAGAGGCTGGGAAATTTGCATCCGTTTCCTCTCCCAGGCCCAGGCGGTAGTGAGAGGCCGGTGGGTGGCTAAGCCATTTGGGTACATTTCCCTGGCAAATACCCCCAGCTGCTGCCTGCTCACTCCAGGAGTGGGAGCTGGGGGTCTGGGCATCTTGAACGGGAGCATGTGGGTGAGGGAGATGGATGGTTGGGGTAAGACTTACAGGACCACCTGGGCATCGTGCCCTGGAGTGGTGATCTGGGGAGACTGGCAGGAGGCAGTGCGGGGGCCCCAGTGGGCTAAGAAGCAGGCACACTGCTCTGACCAGCTTAGAGCCCTGGCCCCCAGAGGGAGGAGCTTCTTCCCTGCATGGCCTCTGTCACCCCCCAATGGCTTGAGGATCTCCCACCATGGGTGCTCAAGCCAAGCTCATTACCTCCTTATCTGGGGACCCCTCTCCATCACCTTAGGCCCTGGAGCAGTGGTCGCTCAGCTTGACCTTTAAACCGACACACTATGTAAGCCGGAAGGTGCCCCCACTCCTACCCGAATGCCTCCCGGAGGCCATAGGCAGCCTGGCTTGTAGACAAGTCAAGTCCCCTGTGACCAGTAGAGAAGGAATTCCGGAGTCACTTTAGAAATTAACTGACTTTATCTAGAAATCAAAAATCGTCCAAGAAGTATCAGGTTTCCAGCCTCACTTGCAACAGGAGACAACCCAAGCCCTCTGTAACCAAATCGGCTTAGTGAGCAACACAGGAGGCAGCCCCCTGGCTGAGTCACGTGCGCCGTATCTTCTTCCCCCTCCCCCCCCATGGCGGCCATTAGGCAACAGTGACACCACACCCACCGCTAACCCCAAGTGCTTGACCTTTCCCAACTCTTCTCTGTGCAGACAGGGTCTGACCCAAAGTACAGACAGGGAGGGGCGCCCGGCTCTGTGTCCGGTGAGCTGCTCTCAGAGGACTCGTCAAAGCCAACTGTCAGAGGTTGAGGACTGTCCAGGGTATCTCTGGAACTCCGTGAGAGTCTAGCTGGGCCTGGTGGAGAAAGAGCTCACTCAGAGCTGGTGTCAGTTCTAGGAACCGAAGGAAAGGCCCGGAGCTTAGAGGAAGAAAGTGGCCAGGCCTGGGGAGATCAGGCCCCTGAGTGGTGTCATCCTGAAGTCTAACAGAGAGTGCTATATGCAAGCTGTCTTACAATCATCATCTCACTTAGTCCTCAGAAAATTCCTGTGAAGTAGGTGCTCTTGCTAGTAGCCCCATCTTGTAGGGAAAGAAATGGAGATGCAGAAAGATCAAATGGAGGCAGGATTCATACCCACGAGGCCTCTCCATGGGGCATGGTGTTGATTCCTGTCCACTGATTGCTCTGCCAGAGTGGCACATTCTGTGTTTCCAGAATCTGAGTCCTGCGAGGTGGAGTATATGGCCATTTTACACATAGGGAGATAGAGGCCAAGAGGTCCCTTGGTCCATGGCTGCCTTCCTCTGTCAAGGCCCTAAGAACTCCTTTAGGGGTCTGGACAGGTAGGTCTGCTGACACCCTCTTCTCCCCACAGGCACTGGGCTGGTCCTTCGTGCTGCTGACCACATTGCTGGCATTTGTGGTGCGCTCTGTGAGGCCCTGCTTCACGCAGGCTGCCTTTCTCAAGAGCAAGTACTGGTCCCACTACATCGACATTGAACGTAAGCTATTCGATGAGACATGCACAGAGCATGCCAAGGCCTTTGCTAAGGTATGTATCCAGCAGTTCTTTGAAGCCATGAACCATGACCTGGAACTGGGTCACACACATGGAGTGCTGGCCACAGCCACAGCCACGGAGGCTGCCCAAAGTCCCTCTGACAGGACGGAGGAAGAGAGGGAGAAGCTTCGTGGCATCACTGACCAAGGCACCATGAACAAGCTACTTATAAGCTGGCACAAATGCAAACCACCACTGCGGCTGGGCCAGGAGGCACCACTGATGAGCAATGGCTGGGCTGGAAGCGAGCTCCGGCCCCCTCGCAAAGAAGTGGCCACCTATTTCAGCAAAGTGTGAGCCATAGCTGGCTGCAGAGGCAGGAACAGAGATCTGAACCCAAAATCCTTTGCCCCTCAAAGTAGACAGAAAACAATTCTGAGCTATAACCACAAGTGCAGACAGTCACCTGCTGGTGTTAAAAAGAAAAGTCGGAGCTGGAGGACCTTACCTCCTGAGCTGAGATGCTGCCCTGGGCAGCCTGGGAGCAGTGTCGTCCTGTGTCTCATCTCCTGCTGTTTCAGTATTACTAGTGTTCACATCTGGTTGGTGGGACCAGGAAGCGTGGCTGGTACCCAAGTCCCTTCCCAAGCCTCATCCTGATGCTGCTCATTCCATCCCTGACTCACTGTCCCCACTTAGGCTTCCAAAACCCATGGCCAGTATTTCTTCTTCCTCTAGACTTCTCTTGCGCTCGGGCTCAGGCAACTGAGAGCAGCCAGCCCTCTGGTGATCACTGCCGGTTTCTTGCACCAAATGGAATGGGTTTTGTGACATACCTGGGTGAAACATGATAAGATGCCATGACCTAGGATCATATGAGAGAGGTCAAGGTGTGTGTCATGAGGCCATTAGACAATTGTTGACACAGACTCCATATTTACCTCACACCAAGCACAAAATTAATACTCTCACACAGATTATAGGAAAGTAGACCATCCATGGGGCGTGAGGGCTAGACAGGAAAGCTGATGAACTCTTATTTTCTCAAAGGCTCCCTGGGAAAGCCTGCAGTGAGGTGGGATGAAGATGAGGGTGTTGCCTAAGAGAGGGAGTAGTTAAAAGGCTACAGAGTGAGATAAAAGTGGGTTAAATGCTGATTCTACTGTTTGCGAAGTGCCTCATTTTGGGGGTCTCAGTTTCCTCATTTGTGCAATAGGGAGAAGGCCATCTACCTCACAGGTTCATCATGGCACAAAGCAGATGCTTGGACCAGTGGGGTTAATATGCTTGTGGCTGCTTCCTCCCCTTCCCTGACCCCAACCAAAGGACAGGACAGGACAGGACAGGAATTCTTGGCTGCTATCGTGTCCAAGAAAATGAAACAGAGATGCAGATAGGCTTCTTATCTCCCAACCCCATCTTCCAGCCCTCAGCCCTGCCCTTCTCAGAGCTCACTTTGATCTTCTATTTTCATCTTCCCTCATCCAGCCTCCTTCCACTCTCAAGTGGAATCACAGTGCCACGGTGGCAGGGAATTGGAGGTTGAACTTGACCCCAGCCCTGAATGAAGGGACCAGATGAATACAGACCAAGTGTGCACTGGTGTGGGGGTGTCCACTAGGGACAGGAGGGACAGGAGGGACAGGAGGGACAGGAGTGTTTGGAGAAACAATTGTGAGAGAAAGCTTTGCCAAGACCTGGATTCTAACACGAGAGTGCTGGGAGCTAAGACAACCCCCCAACCTGTAAATTGCTTTCTGGAAAGGCCTGGACAAACGAACTCTGATTTTTCTCCATTCATTCCTGCCACGGGGACAAGCCAGATTCAAGAGGGTTCAGCTTGTCCCTCAGTGTGAATCCTACCGTCACAGCCCTAGAGAACTGATGGCCCAGGGCTATCTCTCTCGTCCTAGGAGCCTCTGGGTCCATCTTGGCATTCTCCCTGTCAGTGTCCTTGACTCATGACTCTCTTGCTTGTGAGCTCCCAGAGATAAGAGCTCACGGCCACTCTAGGGACCGGCAGCACAGTTTAAGAAACCTGCTTCCCTTTAATTTCTGCCTATGACCAGCCTCTGCCCTAGGAGCCTCGGAGGATCCCCAGATTCCTCCATTCACTTGTCAGCTGTACAGAGGATAGGGGCAGTATCTGTTCAGCTGCAGTGGGATGAGCCTCTTCTGGGAATGGCTGGTACAAAGGCAGGGTGCTCAGGGAGGGGAGGGCAGAGGGGACCCCGGTCTTGACCGTTTGTATTCTGGAGCATCATCGTCAAGCCTGAACACTTCCTCTCCAGCAGCTTCTGCCGGGTGGGTGTCAAGCATGGAGGATGTTCTTCAAACTGGCCCGGAGAACAAGCCTGGGCAAGAGCTCCTGGAGGGCCCTGCCTGGCTCCTGCCTAGACCTTCCCAGATGGCCCCCGAGGGGTGCAACAAGGTAGAGTCGAGGCAGGGCCAGTAGGACCAGCCACAGCGGGCCCAGAGGCGGGCTGGAACAGGAGGAGGCATCCGAGACTGCTTCTCTTACTTCCTCTGTCTCGCGCCGCCCCTCAGCAGCCCGCCCTCCTCTGCCTGGTGCCAGGAGGCTGTTTTTCCATTCGCCGGCGAGAAAGTTCCACCGTTTCTTTCTTTCCTTTTCTGGAGTTAACTTTGTCTTCAAATGCCTGTACTTCATCTGTAGCCGCCCGGAGTTAAGTCTTTTTGTGACCGGGTCCAAAGCTCTGTTGCTTTCAAACGCCCGGCCCCTGGTGCAGGAGCAGCGAACCCCCGTGAGGCCACTCTGCTTTGTGGCCTGGAGCCTGGAGCCTGTCCCTGTGTCTGCAGTCCCACACTGCTGTCATTCCACTAGGAAGCCAAGGCCACGGATCCCTGCAACCACCCCTAGGTAAGGAGGTGCCCCTCCCTGGGGCGTGCAGGTGTTAAAGGAGCTGGCTGGTTGGTCCCAGGCAGCCTCCACGACTCTCTGGAGAGAGATGCCCTGGGAGGATGAGGAAGTGTTGCTCCCACTCCCCTCTCTAGCTTCCTGGCTCTCCTTGGGGACAGGCTCGTGGCATAATCATCTCAGAAGATGGCTTGGTCCAGCCTCTGCTAATTACCCTGGCTATCAGGCATCTTGTACCCAACACTGAACCTAGGGCCACTACAAGGAGCTAATGGGTGCCTGGCCCCCAAGAAGGAAGAAAGGGAGAGGTGGGGTTGCCATTAGCCAGTTTCTCGCCACCAACAGGATGGAGTCCCTTCCTTGTGGGATTATTCAGGAGCTCTGGGCTCTGAGCTGGGGAGTCAAATGTTCCTCCCTTCTCCTGGGTCCAGATGGCCCCGCCTGCGCCCATCTGGTATCCTTGGCAGAGGCAGCAACAGTTGAAAAGGGATGTGTATCTGAAACAGAAAAAGGCAGCGCAGGCGTCCCTCCCCCCTCCCCTCCCTTCCTCCCTGCACCGCCTAACCCCCCCTCTACACTTCCAGGCTTCCTCTGGCCCGGAGCATTTTTGTTTTTTCATTCCCTTGATGGGGGTGGACACGGGGCCACACCCTGCCTGTCTCTCTGGGTGTGTGGGTGGAGCCTGGGAAGGGAAGGGAATTAGGGCTAAACTTCCAAAGAGCCTGAGGCCATGGGCACTTCTGGCCCAGTGCCATCACTACTGTAGTCAAGAGTCAGGGGAGGGCTGACAAGGGAGGGTGGGCCTGAATCCCACCAAGGCAGCCGGAGACTGGCAGATGCTGGAGGTCTCTGGCCTAGGCTTTTAGGAGCAGAGCTTCTGCAGGCTGCTGGATAGGAGGGTGTGAGGGGTGCCCGGTCTGAAGGAGGTTGTGAACAGGGGGAGCTAATTTGGCTCCAATTAATTTTGTCTGCTTTCTAAGTATTCTCAAATCTGGCTCCTCCAGATTTGCCTGGCTTCAGCAAGATACCCTGTCCCCTTCAGGTCTTGATTTTCTGGTCTTTGCCAACAGGAGAATCATCCTCAGCCAGTAGAACTGACAGGATAAGCGTTTCAGATGTTCAACTACTATCAAACATCACTTAATGTCCCCTAACATTAAGGAAGAGGTCAGGGGCCAGAGTGACTTGTCCTCACAGCTGAGTACAGAGGTCTGGAGAAAAGACACCGAGTGTGTTGAGCCCCGAGGTCTTCAACATGGAAGGGTTTTGTGCACCCAAGGATGTTGGCATCCTGTGCCAGGCTTGCCAGCCCCAGGGCTCCAGTCTGTCCTGTCCACTAGGACTGCCCCTACAGCTGTTACCCATAGCACACCCTCCAAATTGTCCCAGATACTTAGCATATTTCTACCACCTGGAATTCCAGAGAGAACTCATCCCATATTGCCTAACACCACCAGCCATTCTTAATCCTCCTGGTAAGAAGGTAGCGGCAAAAAGATTTTAAAGTATTCAGAGCAGGCAGATGTGACCTTGAATCTGAGGCCTGCCATTTCTTCACATGTGGTCCTGGCCAGGGGCTCACCCCCAGGAAGCCACGTCCTCTCTGTGCTGAGGTTGGGGGGGAGGCAGGGGCACAAGGACGTCATGGGAATCCCAGGGACTACGTACAGAGACTTGTGAGAATGGGCATCTGGCACCTGCAGGACCTTAGGCAACCATGGCTACCACCATTTCTGTGGTGGCCCTGGGCTCCCTCCTGCCCCACCTGCTTGACCACAGCAGCATCCCTCAGCCTGTGCTCAGAGACAAACATTTATCAGTCATCTGTGTTTCACAGGAAGCACCAGTTCAGCCAACTGTGAAAAAATGGCATAACCATGCTCTGTCGTCCGATGTCCTCCTGCCTGCACGCCTTCCCAGTTTCTCCAGAAGCCATCGATTCTGTGCTCTTCTGCCTCCTCTTAAGCAACCCATCCCTAGCGCACCAGTCACCATGGCGGCCTTGATTGCAGAGAACTTCCGCTTCCTGTCTCTCTTCTTCAAGAGCAAGGATGTGATGATTTTCAATGGGCTGGTGGCCCTGGGCACGGTGGGCAGTCAGGAGCTGTTCTCCGTGGTGGCCTTCCACTGTCCCTGCTCACCTGCCCGGAACTACCTGTATGGGCTGACAGCAATTGGAGTGCCTGCGCTGGCGCTCTTCCTCATCGGAGTCATCCTCAACAACCACACTTGGAACCTGGTTGCTGAGTGCCAGTATCGGAGGGCCAAGAACTGCTCTGCTGCCCCCAACTTCCTCCTCCTAAGCTCCATCCTGGGCCGTGCCGCTGTGGCTCCTGTCACTTGGTCTGTCATCTCCCTGCTTCGAGGGGAGGCCTACGTCTGTGCTCTCAGTGAGTTTGTGGACCCCTCCTCACTCACAGCTGGGGATGAAGGCTTCCCCCCAGATCATGCCACAGAGATCCTAGCCAGGTTCCCTTGCGGAGAGGGCCCCACCAATCTGTCGGGCTTCCGAGATGAGGTCAGCCGCAGGCTCAAGTACGAGTCCCAGGTAAGGAGCTGTGTGAAGGGCAGCCTTCTTCGTCCCTCCCAAAGCGGCAGGTGGTGGGGTGGTACCCCATGGCATGGCCCAGTGTGAAAATGAGCACCTCTCCAGGGGAGCTCCAGATTAAGGGACCAGAGCAGAACCACCTGTGGGCAAGGGTCAACTCATCGCAAGAACGTGTGACTTGCTTTTGGGTGCTGGCAAGTGAATCCAAGTCCACACGAATGCCAAACGTGCTCCGCCACTAGACTCCGCTTCCAGGCCTTAGACACAGTTTTGAGCATAAGGGAGTACCACCTGGAATCCCAGTGAGAAACCATCCTAGAACACCCAGGGCCATTCTCAGTCTACCTAGTGAGCTTATCGTTACCCTAGCTTGACTGGGCATGGGCCCCTGCAGGCCACCTCAGAAATACCCGTTGTGGGCTTTGAGTTGCTAGTGGAGCCTGGTTGACTCCAGGATGAACATATTCCTGTCCCGGCACTGAGTCAGCTTCACACGAGCGAGGCAGGCCAGCAAGAGGCAGGCTACCACTGCTTGGGCCTAGCTGTGGCCTTCCCTGCATCCTGTCTGGAGATTGGTCAAGGGGAAAGGGGTCAAAAGAATGGTCAGAAGCAGCCATCTGAACTGCATGTGAACTCAGAAGCAGAGGATGAGGGAGACAGGAAGAAGTGCAAGGGACTCTAAAGGGTCTCTTTCCTTGAAAACATAAAAAACCTAAGCTAGGGGCTAGAGAGAAGGCTGAGGGGCTAAGAGTGCAGAAGACCTGGGTTCAAGTCCCAGCACCCACACAGTAGCTCACAACCACTTGTAATTCCAGTTCCAGGGGACTTGATGCCTCCTGAGGGCACTAGGCACACACATAGTATATAGACATATGCAGGCAAAATACTCATGCACACCAAAAAAGGAAGAGAGGGGGGAAGAAGGAACCTAAGCTAGCTGTCTGTGCTGTTTCCTGCCTGTAATCCAGTACTAGGAAGGTAAAGGTAGGAGGGTCTGGAGTTCAGGGTCATTTTTAGCTACAGAGTAAATTAAGGGTCAGTTTGAACCACTGTCTCAATGAAAAAGAAGGGGTTTGGAGAAATGGCTTGGTAGTTAAGACAGAGTATTGCTCTTACAGAGAACCCAGCACTCAGGTCAGTTCCTAGCACTCAGGTCAGGTGGGTCACAGCTACTTGTAACTCCAATCTGATGCCCTCTTCTACTCTGCACTTACATATATACATAACCCACAACACATACACAGCCCCAACACACATATACAACCCCCCGACATTTATATATATAACCCCAGCACTATACAACCCCAACACACAGATACAGACCCCCCAACATATATACTTAATCCCCAACACATATGCACCCCTTCCCTGAAAAGTACAAAATCTAAAATAATTCTTTAAACAGCAACAGCAGAGGATGAGGCCTGTGAAACTTTGGAGATGGCATCAGAGCTGACCCACAGTTTGAAATGGTTTTTTTGTGGATGGGAGACTCTCATGTGCTCTGTCACCGAGCTCAACTCCTGGCTCCTGAGACGGGTTTGGTGGAGTCGAGTGACAGAGCACCCTTGGGGCTGAAGAATAAAAAAGGCAGAAGGAACACACAGCAGTGTGTGGCCTAGGGGATTAAGAATAGAAAAAAGGAAGTCCTGCTTGCCCACAGAGCAGAATCTGTTTCTCTTTTCTCTGTCCCCACGGGTAGGCAGGGTCCAGGCGGCTCTCGGGCCCTCCCTGAGCCCTGCCTCTTCTCTGCCCAGCTCTTTGGATGGCTGCTCATCGGTGTGGTAGCCATCCTGGTGTTCCTGACCAAGTGCCTCAAACACTACTGCTCGCCACTCAGCTACCGCCAGGAGGCCTACTGGGCTCAGTACCGCACCAACGAGGACCAGCTGTTCCAGCGTACAGTAGAGGTGCATTCAAGGGTGCTGGCTGCCAACAACGTGCGCCGTTTCTTTGGCTTTGTGGCTCTCAACAAGGATGATGAAGAGCTGGTCACCAAGTTCCCGGTGGAAGGCACACAGCCACGACCACAGTGGAACGCTATTACTGGGGTCTATTTGTACCGTGAGAACCAGGGCCTCCCACTGTACAGCCGCCTGCACAAGTGGGCCCAGGGTCTGACAGGTAATGGCACAGCCCCTGACAATGTGGAGATGGCCCTGCTCACCTCCTAGAAGCCTGCTTCTTTGCAAGTGGAAGTGCTTAGTCCCAAACTAACATTCACAGCATGCTCACCTCAGCATCAGGTGATTTTTTTTTTCAGGCACAGACCAAGGGGACAGAAAACTAATAGTGTAAAGATCCTGTGGACCACATGGCCCAGAGATTGGGGGTGGGGGGTGGTAGGGGTGGTGAGACTGACTTCCCAGACTTGCTGAAATCATGTCACCTGCAGCCACCAGTGGGCATGGTTCACATCTACAGGTTAAGATTTTTCTAGAGCTGGTCCTTAACTATGACAAGGATGACCTTTGGTGGGCCTAAAGCTGAGAAGCATCAGCTGGTGGAGCCTGGTGACAGTATAGCCCACTGTGGGAGCTCGTTGAATACTTTGTGCAGTTAATTTGTGTCTAATTGCATAGGGGCGCCTAGCTTCCTGGTGTGTGGTAGGAAGCTGCCTCCACTGTATACCTCTGGCTTGATTTTATACATTTAAACTTTTTGATAAAGCTTTTCTTACTTTAAAGACCTAGACTGGTGTTTGCACAATTGACAAGGGCATTCAGCCCATTGTGAGAGGAGGACGAGGGGGGACCAGAAAAATGGCAGCAACGCAAGGTGTGCCACACGCCCTGCCGAAGGGCTGACTGGCAATCTTGAGTTGCAGAGGGACACTCAGCTGGAAACATCAGAAGATCCTGCAGCCAGACTTAGCACTAAAGCCCATGCCCTCTCAGCCCTGCACCAACTACCTTCATACTCTAAAACCTCATGCCCTCCTTCGTCTGCTCCCTGGCATCCAACCCAGCCATTTCCCACAGAAAACTCAGAGAACATCTTAGGCTCTGTCAGAGAAAGCTTTTTAATTTCCGTTAGGCCCAAGCCAAAAAAAAAAGGTCTGTGCTAGCATCTCAGAATGCCAGGTTGTGCCAGATTTGAGGAGGTGGGGTGACTGGGCCATGGTGAGTCTGGGAGAGTAGGCAAATAAACCAGTCTTTTCAGCTGTCCTGAGTAGCTTCAGTGTCCCAGTCCTGTCCCCCTGCTCCCAGGATTCTTCCTCTGTCCTCCCATCTCAGCATCCCAGGCTCCACAACAGGGCAGATGGTACAGGCTGAGCTGACACAATGCCTGGACCTCAGGACCACAGGATGTACAGTCTTTCTTATACCTTACCCACCTCTTGGGTGTGGACTGAGAGCTTGCCAAGGGACAAAGTGGGATCCTGATCACAAAATCTGCTGTCATTTGCCTTTCTGTTCTTAGACTGCAGCAAACTCTCCTGAAAGAGGAATGCTTGTTTTTTTCTGGAAGCCCAAGAGCCTGTTGCCTGAAAATACTGAGCAACCCCAGGAAAGGCAAAGGAAGACATAATATATTATATAAAACAAAACAAGAGCTTTAAAACCTCAATGGCGAGGGTACAGTTTAGTGAAAGAACACTTGCTTAGCATGTTTAAGGCCTTGGCTCAATCTGTAGCACCCTAAATTAAAAAAATATATATAAACATATTTTTAAAAGCAAGAAATGATAGCACATGTCTCTTTAATCCCAGCACTTGGGAGGCAGAGGCAGTGGATTTCTGAGTCCAAGACCAGCCAGGTCTACACAATAGGTTCCAGGCCAGTCAGGGCCATAGAGTAAGAACCCTGTCTCAAAAGAATTTTTTTTTTTTTTTTTAAAGGGGAAAGCCTCCCAGAATTCTTTATTCTGACAGGATGGGGAACTTGGCAGCAGTAAGCCGAGTCTGCCTCCCTCTCTCCCTTCCTGGAACATCACAAGCCTGCAGGCATGCGGTAAAAAGCAGCATGTAAACAGTCGTAACAGTCCCCAGGCAATGTTCCCAGTATCCAGGAGCCTGCTGCCACCACTGCTCAGTGGAGTCTGTGGCTACTAGTCCTCCATCACTGAGCTCTTGGCCTCCACGTACTCCAAGGCCTTCGCCTTGACAGCCTGCACATCCTTCTCAGTGCCGTGCTGCTTCTCGTAGTCCAGGTAGCGTTTGAAGAAGAACTTCATCCTCTTAGGGGCCAGGCTCAGATGGATGACCCGTTCAAAGATGTCCCTATGAGGGAGAGCAGGGAAGCAATTCCCTCAGGGTCCTATCACAGGACTCCGGCTACACTCCCAACTTGCTCTCAGGTACTAGGTCCCTCTAATATCCAGCACCCCGTTTCTTATCTTTACCATGCGTAGAAGACTTAGGCTGCCTAAAATTACATGGTAAAGAGGACACAGCTACTGGCATGGGCACACACCAAAGAAGCCCAACCCACAGCAAGGTTCAAATAGACTCCTGTTCTCTCTGGACCCTGCTCTATCTACCCATTTCCAACCCTCCTTATCCTGTGCAGGTTGTGGGGGACAAAAGTGAGAGTCAGCCATAATTGAATCATGTGCGATCCCAAGTCTCCTGGTTTCCAGGCCATAGAAAAGGCTGGGAAGGTAAAATCAAATGGACCAGGGGGCCACTGTCAAACTGTTTTTCAGTATCAAGTCAGACAACTAGGGCTGCCATGGGGCAGCTAAGCATCAACATAGCCAAAGCCCCTCCTACCCCACACCAGCAGGAGTCAGCCCTGGTCTGCTGTCCCCCTCACCTGACTTCTTTCTGGCTGCCATGCTTGATGGTCATGTCGATGTAGACTGACCAGACATCTGTGCGTTTTGGGTAGGTGCTTAGTGTGTTCTCAAAAATGGCTTTAGCCCGCTCTGGGTCCCCCAGCTGAAACTCTAGCTGGGCAAATTTGGAAATCACGTCTACATCTGTGGAGAAAGGACAGGTCAGAGCCAAGTCAATTCCAAGGACCCCTCGCCACAGCACAGTATGTTACAGAGACAAGCTTAGTCCGATTCATTGCTCTTAGGCCAAGATCCAGGACACAAAGACAAAACCTCAAAAGAACATTGTGGGTTTGGAGCCAAGTACACGAGCCTTCCAGATACCCCTTATTCTTAGGTCATAGACGACAGAATAAAGGCTGATTGCTTTTGCTCCTCCATCCTTGGAGCCCAGCATGCATCATGGTTTTCATGAGCACACCATCAGATTTACTAAGTCAGAAGCAACAAGATGACAACTGTCACTCCCAGGCACCAGTCCTGAGTGTGCTCAGGAAGTAGGAAGAACACTTACGCTCCTTGGTGGGTAGGCACTCCAGGGCTCGCTGCAGCACACGGTGACTGGCCCCAGCCTGGCTCCTCCTCAAAACAAAGGCACCATATTTGATCCAGACAGCCTTCTCCTGCCGGAAACGCTTCAGCATTCGGTTGTACAGCTCACCAGCTTCCTGTGGGAAAGACACAGTAAGCCAAGAAAAGTGTAGCACTTGAGAGAGATATCAAAGATAGGCTGTGTTCATGGGTAGGCTTGGCTCACTGCTCCCAAGTTCCTAATTCTAGGGGCCTAAGGAGCCTGGGAGGATCTTCAGGAGAGCACAATGCAGTGACACAAAATACTGGGGCTTCCACAGTAATCCCTCCATATATCCTCACCTCTGCCTTGGATAAAGACAGAGGTGAGCATAGCAAGAGGAAGAAGGAGGAAAAGGGCCTATGAGGCTGGGATGTGATAGCATGGGGAACCCAGAAGGTGGGATCCTCACAGACTGCTGGCCCTAGGCCCTGACACCTACCTTAAACTTCTCAGACTTGGTGTAGATGTCAGCCAGATGCAGGAAAACCTTGAGGGGCTCATTGTATTGCACAGCTCGCTCGAAGACCTTAGTCAGGGACTCCTGAGAGCCGTACATGTTTTCTAGGTTCAGCAGTGCCACCCACACATTCAGCTTTTCCTGTTCCTCTCTGGAGGTGGAGTAGGCAGAACACAAGTTCCATCAACTCAGCACTGGATACCTATGAACTATTTCTTTCTCCCAGGCAACAATTACATCCTCGATCCCACCAGTAAATACAGATACTGAAACCCTTTGCCCCCATTGCAGCTCACTGTAAGGGGAACCTGTGCTCCCCTATATCTTACTGCCAAGTCTGGGGATCCCCTGATCAACCCCCCCCCTTTCTGGGAAGGAAGCATCAGATTACAAAGTGGGCCTATGTTCAACTGTAACAGAATCTTGGGTCTGACTCTCCCCCACAGTGAAGAAGGCAAAGCATCAACTGTCATCCCTCGACACCAGCTTCAGAAAGCTACCTCCACTCTGCCGAGAATAGGCTTCACCGAGTAAGTGCTGAGTTCTCCCTGCTCTGCTTGTTTTATCTGGGAACCTTGCTGGCACACAGAGACTGTAAACGTCGTCATGGTGATTTCAGCGAAGAGGAACATAAAGTATGAATGAGTGATCTGCTTCAAGTGGCTACACTTACAAGTGTGAGCCTGAAAGACCATGGGCTACTACTACCAGGAAGATCTGTAAGCCAGAACGAAGTGGGAAAGCCCAAGCCCACACCTGAAGGAGATGGTCTTCAGGGCCCTCTCAGCTACAGCCCGGGCCTTCTCAATCTCGGTGGCCTGCAGGTGGAAAGCCATGTACTGCAGCCACAGGATGGAGCTGTTGGGGGAGCTCAGCACCAGACGGTCAAATTCATCAGCCGACTCTGGCTGCCGCCCTGGGTCCATGAGTGCCTCTTCAATGCGCGACAGCTCCTTTTCCGCCTTCTGCCTCTCCAGCTCCCTTTCTTTCTTGCCCTTTTTCTTTTGTTATGGAAGAAAGAAAAGTGAATCATCTGTTCCTTCAAACTCAGGGGGGGATCCAAGGTAGAAATCATGGGTTCATAGGTCAATCCATGAACTCCAAGGCACCTAGGCCAGAAGAGGGCAAAGGAGTCGGGGACTGAGGCATCTCTGCCAAAGAAACAAAGCCTTAGAAATACCTTGGCTGGCTGTGGCTTCTCATCCTCCTCGCTGTCTGAGCTCTCTCCTCTGAATGGTAAGGCTGGAGTCAGAGTATCGAGATCCACATCCCAAATGAAGCCTGAAGAGAGCTGCAGCCGGGGCACCTCTGTGGGCTTTTTCTGTTTTCCCTGCAGAATCACAGAAAACTGAAGGAAGCAGGGGCCAGGCTGTTCCCTGTACCTACCCAACCTCCTGGCTATTGAAGGAACAAGAGTGACTTAAAAATGCTCTTTCTAAATCAATTACTTAGACAATGACCTTATAAAATGTAACACACGTGCAAGCACACAAACATACACGCACACCCACACCACACCCACATAGTAGGAGGGGTCTAGAATAGAACTACAGAGAAGGTGGCAGGGGTTGACAAAAGTGAAGAAGCTCTGTTTCATGGTTGAAACTTCATAGTCCTCTCTACTCAAGCACCAAGCTTCCACTTGTGAAGAGCGTGGGCTCATGCAGGCTGTGCATTCTCTTCATCTGCCCACCTCTTTCATTCAGTTCTTGATAAACATGTTATTAGTGTTAACAGACCCTGTCCTCAAGCAGCTAGACTAGCTGAGGTAACTACCCTTTATCACCCACTGTTTTATAGAAAATGAGGTAATGAGGATAGGACTGGGATAGCAGCTGTGGGAGGAAGGCAAGGAGCTCCTCCCCGAAAACCCTTCTGCTCCAATTCAGTGGTGGCCCTTACCGCAGGCAGTGCCTTTGGCCTCTCCATGTCCTCCTCTCCTTCCCGGTAGTACACCTCCACACCACTGTCGTCCTCTTCCGGTGGCCCAGACTTCTTTGGCCTCTTGCTCAGTCTTTCCTGAAATGGTTGGGGGTGTAGGATACGAAGTTTCTCCTCGCCCTCTGGGTGCCTCCTCCGAGAGAAGGCTGGGCAGCTGCAGCTCACTTCTCAAACACTTCTTATGGGTGAGGAGAGGCATGATCCTCCCTGGAAGGGGACTTACCTGCTCATCTGCAGATTCCTGGCGCTCTCGCTTGCCCTGCCCATTCCTCTGTGACTTCTGGGACTCTTTCTTCTCTTGGCTAGACAACTCCGACTTCTCTTGCTCCTTCTGATTCTTCTTTTTCCTTTTTTGGTTCTTTTTCTTCTTTTCTTTTCCTTTTAGGTCCTCCTCAGCCCCTCCTTTTCTCACTTCTTGTTCTGGTTCTGGGGAGGCAGAAAACACATCCGGCTTCCCAGTGTCGCTGGGAAGGAGTGACAGCTCTATCAGGTTCCTCTTGGGGTTCACACTAATACAGGAAGAGAAGAAAGGCAAGGAGTAAGGCTAGAAGGTGACTGGCACCACAGGCTGTCAGAGCTCACCTCATCAGCAGTCTAGGCCCGCCCCACCTGTTTTGGGATGCTTAGTATCTGGGATTTACACCTTTCATCTGCTCAGTGGAAAAAGTCAGGGAGCACCCAGGATGGACCTGCTTCATCAACAACTAAGGCCGTGTTTACTCTGGGCTAGGGCTGGAGCTGAGGTCAAATGCTTCAAATAAAGGGTTTTCACTCATTTGAGCACCACATGAATGCATCACCACCCACACCTTTATGTTCCGAGTTTACCTCAAAAACTCCTCCCCGGGCAGGGCTCCCCAGAGAAAGGGGTCTGGTTCACACCAAACAAAGAGGGGCAGAAAGGGCAGGGAGAAAAGACACCTACCTTAGGATCTTGGCAGTGATCAGCTTTCCCTCAGGGAGGTATCTGTTATAAAGCTCTTTCTCAGGTGGGCTACACTGAGAGACATGGGCGTACTGGGCTAAACCCATAACTGTAGGCCCAAGGCTGAAAGGAGACAGACAAGAGTCCTGTGGGTATAAATACAACACAACCCCAACCACATCCAGTGTCCCCACTTTTACAAGGCCTCAAGTTTTGATAGGATGTATGAGACACTGTTCACAGCACCCAGGAGGATAAAGATGGTCTTGGAAACTGAAAAAATTATCATGTATAATGAAGCTATGAATTCGGATTTGGTTTGAGCTTCTGAAAATCCAACCTAGGCGAGCTAGGCAAGGGCTCCATCACTGAGCTATATAGCCCTGCCTGGCCTGGAACTGAGAGATCCTCTGCCTCTGCCTCAGGAGTACTGTGATTAAAGCAGTGCACTAGCACACCCAACTCCCCAGGTTAGCTTTTATCCACTATAGCGCCATGATGTCTAAATGACAAACTGCTAAACAGACACAGAGAAGAGAGGAGACAGGAGAGCAGGTGCTAATCATATGAAGAATCATGAAGCTGGGTGTGGTGGTTCACGCCCTTTATCAGCACTAGGAGGCAGAGGCATGTGGATCTCAGTGAGTTCCAGACCAGCCCGGTCTATAGAGTGAGTGACAGGACAACAGAAGCTACATAATGAGAACCTGACCTCTAAATAAGTAAATAAATAGACAGAAAGATAAATAAACAATGGCACAACAAAGAATCATGATCAAACACTAAAATCAGAGAAAATCCAGAATTTGAAACTAAAAATATCATTCATTTTCCAAACACCAAATAAGAAATAACTCAAAACAAACAAACAAACAAACAAAGGCATTCTGGGAGTGGTGAGATTGTTCCATGTTTAAGAGCACTGGCTGCTCTTTCAGGACCCAAATTTGGCTCCTAGCCACAGCGCCAGGAACACACATGATGTACATATACAAAATGCAGGCAAAACACTAAAAAGATAAAAATAAGTATTTAAAACTTGCAATTTTAAAAACTGACAACATATAAGCTCTCCTCTATTCTTAGTTGACGGGGGGCTGGGGGGGAAGGGGCGCCCCAGCACAGACAGCAAGCCCAAAGCCAAGAAGGCAGGCCAGGGAAGCACCTGGGTCTCTGTGCCTCACACTACTCACCTTACAAGCACACCACTTCCCAGGACAGATTTCACGTAGCCCCTCAGGAGCTGCCCTTCCTTGACATCCTGGATGGAGTCAATTTCTGGATCTTCTATTTTACTTTTTGTCTCTTTGTTTGTCCTAAGGGAACACAAGGCTTATACATACATACCTATAACCACTGCTACTTTTCCCCCAGAAAACCTGCAAAAATCACATTGTGGGAGACTTTGCCTCTGTACCGAGAGGACTGAGTCTATAGAGACAAGAGCCTGGATGTCAAATGTCCCAACCCCAACCCGTCACACACACTTAAATAGACAGGAAGAGAAGGTAAGAAGCTCAGAGTTCTGTCACAGGTAACCGTAATTTTCCCTAAGTCTTCTGAGTTGTTTCTTCTCCTTTTTCACCCCGACACCAGCACTCACCTGGATGATCGTAATGACAAAGCCAACACACGGTGTGCTGCAGACAGGATGTAACATCTGGAATAGGCACAAGAGGGCATGTTCAAACATCAGTATTTCTGGAGACAGATGCATAAACTTAAAATTCAAATAAATCTTTAGCAATTCTATTCTTTTGTCTGTTGGTGATATGCAGTAGGATATTTTTACAATGCTGGGCAGCAAGAAGAGCTCCAGTCAAGTCACATGACCATGAGGTGACAGAATGGATGCGCTACATTGCCCTGTGCTGCTCAGCCAGGGTTTGTGTGATTAGAGGCGGTTGGTGCATTCTCAGCTTCGGGCATCTTCAACTTACAAGTTTATTGCGACATAATCTGTCAGGAGCTGAGAGATGAGACCATCCCCACATAATTCTTAACTATGATCTCCAGAGTCAGCAAAACCACAGAAAAACACGACCAAGGAACAACTGAGTGAGGGTTGTCAGGCAGACCAGTGAGGTCTGAGCAGAGAGAGAATTTGAAGAGGGAAAGCAAGATTGACTCTCACTGGTCTCCAAAATAGCTCAGGTAAAACTGTAATCCATAGTCCTTTTTCACTAACTAGAAACAGAGAGGATGGAGGTAGAAAATATTCAATGCAAAACATTCTCATAAGAGACATCCGCTTTTCACAAGCACCAGAGTCTTCAAAGCCGAAGGAGACTTCAGGTGCTACCTTGAGGCAAATGATTTCCTCCCCACATCTGACAGATGAAGGGCATTCTAATGGCATGCTACTCACAGGGTCTGGCTGTCAGAAAAAGTATCCAAAATGACTATGATGCTAAAACCACACCCTCATTTTGTAAGCTTCCAGAGACAAGCCAGAGATGACCTGTCACCTCTAGGACTCACTGAGGCTCTGTGCATTTCTGTGCCGTTTGGCTTCAATAAGCAGTTGACAACTTCGGCAGATGTCAGTATCTGGGACTTGGAGATGGAGGTGGACCATGACTGTTTTCTAGTCCCCGTCTCCCAGAGGTATGCAGTCTACCATGAGCCAACTTTGTCTTGCCTGGTAGTAGGACACATAGCTTGAAATCTGGCTCTGCAAGGCTACTTTTCTCAGGCTACCCTTATGGTCTAAGCTGTACTTCTAGTACCTGGAAGGCTCTAGGGAGGAGCACAAGTTTGAGGCCAGCCCAGACTACAAGGAAAGAGCCTGTGCCTCAGCACAAAACCATCTGGCCATAAGGGAACTGCGACACAGGTTTGTTTGTGGGTGCCTGAAACAGTTCAAGTCCCCGCCCCCAAGGCTGCTATCCTTTTACAAAAAAACAAGTACAGATGATTATTTTTTAAACTAAAAATATGAATGTTTCAAATAAAAATGAGCAACTGGCTTGGAAAACAAGAGCAAAAGAAAAAAAAAACACATGAAGAGACAATATAAGAAATCAAATTAACAGGCCAGAGATAGGTCAGCAGTAAAAGCACTGGCTGGTCTTGCAGAAGGCCCACGTTTGGTTCTTAGCCCCTACATGGCAATTTGTAACTGTGTAACTCCAGCTCCAAATCCAAAGCCCTCTTCTGTCCTCCACAGGCACTGCATGAGCATGGTGCATTTACATATACATATAAAATAAAAATATTTTTTAAAGTCTACCTAAAAGAAAGAAAAAAGAAATGTAAATTAAAATGAAAGATCAATTTTTGCCTATCCAATGACTGGTATAAAAATTAATAATATTGGTCTGGAGAGATGGCTCAGAGGTTAAGAGCAGTGGCTGCTCTTCCAGAGGACCTGGGTTCAATTCCAGCACCCACATGCAGCTCACAACTGTCTGCAACTTCAGTTCTGAGGGAATCTATACCCTAATAAAGACATATATGCAGGGAAAACACCAATGTACATAATATAAAAGTAAATAAATTTAGAAAATAAAAATTTTTATTAAAAAAATAATAATGTTTTTATAATATTTTTATAAAAATTTTAATTAATATTTAGTCTGGGCTGAAGAAAAGGCTCACTGGTTAAAAGTATTGGCTACTCCTTCAGAAAACCTGAGTTTGATTCCTAGCACCCACATGGTAGAACTCCAGTTGAGGGAATCCAATGTCCTCTTGTGTCTGCTGTGGGCGCCAAGCATGCACATGGTTCACATACATACATACGTGCAACCCACATACATACAAAGCAAAAAAGCAAACAAATACAGTCTTACAGTTCCAGCACCCAGAAAGCAGAGGAGAATAGTCCTGCACTATTAGGGACTATAAATGACAGGCAATTTTGCAAAGTGTTTACCATCAACTGGTCCATGCAATTTACTTCTACAAGCGCACTTCAAAGTTGTACTACCATCCAAATGCACACAAAGACGGTATTTCAACATTCAACGAGAACGGGCTAAGTAAGTTTAGATAAAAGTAGTATAATACAAATAGAGATACGGAGTAAGAACAAGATATTAGCATGAAGGAGAAATTCATGATAAACTGCTTTGAGAAAAAAGCAAGTTGCAAATAATATATAAAATGAAGTTCTATTACTAAATGAAGTAAAATTATACCACAGATATATTCAAGTCTATAAAGATTAGAGATCTAAGTATATATGGCAAAAGCATGCCGGAGAAGCGACAGAAATGTATATTTCAGGTTTTCTTTCCAGTAAAAAATAAATAAGGTTTCAGCTGATGTTCATCAATAGGTAAATGGATAAAGAAAACGTCATATATACAAAAAGTATAATCTTGCTTAATTATAAAGAATAAAACTACATCATTTGGAGGAAAATGGGTGACTGAAGTTCATCACGATAAACCAAAAACAGAGTCACACTTCCTTTAGGAACTGGTAAGATAGCTGGAGAGATGGCTCAGTGATTATGAGCCCTGGCTGCTCTTGCAGAGTAACAGGTTCAACTCCCAGCACTCACATGGCAGCTCACAACCACCCATAATTCTAGTTACATGTGATCGAATGTCCTCTTCTGGCCTCTGTGGGTACAAGGCATACATGTAGTTCACAGACATATATTCAGGGAAAACACCCATACGTGCAGTATAAACAAAGTAAAATAATGAAACAGAGGGACAAACAAAAGAGGGTAATGGGGGGATGGACAAACAGGAACTACATATATTTTCTTGTACGCAGAATCTAGACTTAACTGTGTCCTGTGTCCCCATAACATGCAAGCAGAAGGGAGACTATCTGGGGGAAGAAGTGGGCCAGTCGAGGAGTATTAGCAAGGTACAATGATCTTGAGAAAATGCCATAATGATATCCATTATTTTGTATGCTAACAAACAAAAATTCAAACCAGTCATGTTCTCAGATGAAGCAGTACCACAGCTGTTCTCTAATTAGTGTCATCCCTAACTCTTGGGACTCCAGCTCCAGGAGAAGGTAAGTACCGAGGTCTCTAGGCCATGGTTCTTTAAAGCTGACTGCTGGCAAATCCACATACGAGAAACTAGTCATTGAAGATGCTTGCAAGAGTGCACCCTCTATTGGTAGAGTGAAGAAATCACATCATTGTAGAAACAGTAACAGGCTACATGAAATTCGACACTACCTGTGCCCATTACTTTATTCACAGGAGGTAAGTGAGGCCTATCTGATTGGCCATTTGATGGCAACTTGGGCACCATCCACATAGAACCTGTGATAACTATGTCAAAAGATACCTAGAGAATATGCTTAAGAATCCACGTGGGGGGCTGGAGAGATGGCTCAGAGGTTAAGAGCACTGTCTGCTCTTCCAGGGGTCCTGAGTTCAATTCCTAGCAACCACATGATGGCTCACAACCATCTACAATGAGATCTGATGCCCTCTTCTGACATGCAGGCAGAACACTATACATAATAAATAAATAAATCTAAAAAAAACTCAAATAAAAGGATCTACCTGGGGGCCAGAGAGGTGGTTCAGCAGCTTTAAGGGTAAAGGTGAAACAAATGACTTCAAGCCCCAAGACTACATGATAGAAGTAGAGAAGCAACTTCCACAAGTGTCCTCTGACCTACTCACTCGTGTACATAAGGTGTATGGAAACATTTCATTTTCAATTTTGTTTTCTTCTTTCTTCCTGCTAGTGGTAATTCTAAATCTTAGTGACATTTTCCCTCATCAGGTCAAAAGGCATCTAAGTATGTGACTGCAAGAGGAGAACAGGGATAGAAATCAGGTATCAGTAGCTTTTCGCTCTTCATCTGTGTGTGAATTTTTAATAAATATGGGGCATCCCAGTGAAAAGGTTTTGGCAGTTCAACTTGGTAGCAATTATAAGTAAATCTATAAATTTTTCTGTGTGTGTGGGAGGACTAAAATGACACACATACATATCACATATCAGTTAAAAATAATCCCACCAATTTCATGGTTTACCTGACAATCTTCTGGGGAAAGAAGTCCTCCAGGGGTGCCTCAGAGAAGGAGTCACTCACATGAAATAAACTGACTCTCCCTATCTTCCCAAGGGGCAAGGAGATGGTCAGTCCCTTGTTGGGTACCACCTTTAACACTCGGCCCATGGCTACTTCCCCTTCTTCAAGTTTGTAAGGACCTGGTGGGAAGAGGAAACAAGAAAGCAGCTGGCAGTCTGGCCTACTACAGCCTACCAGCCCGAGGTGGAGGCCATCCAGCCTTGAGGCATCCAAATGGAGTAGGCTCATCATAGCTTGAAGCCATGAACCCCACAGCCATGTGACACATAGTCCCTTCTAAAAAAACCTGAGAAAACCAAGTCAAGAAAAAAGGATATCTAAGAGAGTGGTGGAGTCACATATGCCAGAGAACAAAGCCCAAGAGAAAACCAAAACCAAACTAAACCCTCCAACAAAGTTCTGGCTTTCTGCCCAAAGTAGTACCTGAAGCAGGCCCCCTAGCCCCTCCTGCACGCCCCTCCCCATCCAGGTACTGCTTCTTTCCATACCTATGAGTGACAGACATAAGAAAGCCTTAGGGCTGTCTGAGCCCACCACAGTGGCCCTGATAGCCTGCCCAATCTGGAACTTCTTGTCTGGGTGTTTCAGAACCTGAAAGGATTAAAAAAAAAAAAGTTTCCATAGAGGTCTGTCATTTATCCAAAAATATATGTCTCTATAGCAAGTCCCTCCCAAATCATCAAACCCCAATTAGTTTAGGTAGCTCATGTACACCTAACCTCCCCCGTAACCTCTTCTCTCCAGACACTGACCTTAAGGTTGAGGGAAGTGAGCAACAAGGGAATTCTCCCTCGGACGTCTGGCTCAATGTCCACTTCAAGCCACTTCTTAGTCACGTTGTACTGTGGAGGACAGGATAGATATGTAAAAGTACCCTTGGCTAACCCACCAACAAAATTTACTCTTAAAACATTGTAAAGGATGAAAAAGTAAAAAAATCCCACATTTCCCCAAGGGACAGGCCACCATCCTATTGTAATTGTGGCCCTGCACACCACCACATCTCATGGGCTTCAACCTCAGTCAATGTGCATGCAAATAAGTAGAGCTGCAAGCAGTGTGCAGGAAGCACAGCATGCTATAGGAATATACTGGTTATCAACAGGGAAAATGATAGATGCTGACCCTTAAAGGGCACTTAGGCAGAAGGAAAATAGACAAAGGGGGCAGAGGAATTTTAATTCAGTACATGGATGTCCTGGCAAGAGATCACACCCAAAGACCTTTGAGGTCCATGTGATCCAGCTGGAATACAAACACACCTATAATCCAGGAGACAGAGGCAAGTAGATCTGAGTTCAAGGCCAGCCTGGTACAGAGCAAGTTTCAGGTAAAGGAAAGCTTAGGTGGTACACCGCTTTAATCCCAAACAAAGAAGGTAAAGATAGTTTGTAGAAGGAAGCACTCGTGTTTCAAAGTGATGTCTGATTGTCTGGCAGAAAAGGTGACATATCAGAGAAAAGATCTGACAGAAAAAGATATGCCCAACTCTCACAGCTGAACAGGTGTTTCTTCAAAGGTTTCTTCTTTGAAGGACAGGTATCTCCTTAGAGTCAGTGACCAGAGCCAAAACATACATAGAAGAGAGACTAGCAGAGGCCTGTGTGCTCCCTGTCAGCACTCTTACATTCTGGTCCCATCCAGAGATGGGTTTGCAGGGGCAGAGGCCATGCACCAGCCACAGCCCTACGTGATAGTGCCCGGTGCAGAGTCTCTGGCTCCAGTTTCACTCAATCTGCTCTGAAGGTCAACCCTGCAGTGAGGGCAGCAACTACTCACCTTCTTGAGGAAACACGTCACAGTCTGACCAGGTGAGTATTCCTTAATCTTCTCCATAGGGCTCACAGAGTGAGTATTAAGAGCACTGTAGCTATTCTTCTTCAACTCACTGTTTACAGAAAGGCAAAAAAGAGAAAGCCAACCACTGGGTAGAGTCTAGCCTGAAAGAACTCCTTCAAATGACCACAGAGTACCGGTGCAGGACTCCACTATTTTTACTCTCATGGACAATCTCTCTCCTTGAAGAATCTTCTCAATAATCAACCCAGGTCTAATCGTCTTTTTTCCGAGTCATTCATCTGTATCTAAACCAGTGGCAAACTAGTTCATGAGTCTTTCATAAATTTAATAAATAAAATTATTTTGTCTGGTTGTGGTGGTGCAGCTTTTAATCCCAGCCTTCAGGAGGAAGAAGCAGGTTAATCTCAGTGAGTTCAAGGCCAGCCTGCTCTACAGATTCATCAATACAACTGTGCAGTGATGCTGTTAAAAACACAAAACATGGTCACATGCACTAGTGAATGAGGAAACTTTTCTTACACTAGAAAACCTGCAACTGGGGCTGGAGAGATGGCTCAGAGGTTAAGAGCACTGGTTGGCCTCCCCAAGGTCCTGAGTTCAATTCCCAGAATCCACATGGTGGCTCACAACCATCTAAGAGGAGATATGGTGCCCTCTTCTGGCGAGCGGGTGTACATGCAGAAAGAACACTGCATACATAATAAATAAATAAATCTCTTTAAAAAAAAAAAAAAAAAAGAAAAGAAAACCTGCAACTGCATATACATTCTGACTCAGTAATTCCACCCAAAAGAAATGATTACATGTGAGCACAGTGGAGTGAGTTTCAGTGTTTTTTGTTGTGGCATTGTAAGAATTTTTCTGTAATTTTTAGAAAGACCAGAAACAAGCTCAAATGTACATCATCATTTTGAGAGTGTGTATGGTTTGGTACTTTCACAGGATAAATTACTCTCATTTAAACTGACCCCAAGTGAGTTGATCTCCCCCCAAAAATTTCTCTTCAGCAGTGCTGGGGATGGAATCCAGGGCCTTGCACATCCTAAGCACACACTCTACCACTCAGCAACAACCATCTAATCAAACTTTTTTTTTTTTTTTAAATGCAACAAATTTTATTTAGCCCAGTCCTGGCACACACAGAAAGCTCACAGAGGGCAGAAAGTACATTAATAAAAGTCAGCCTTTACCTAAAGAAAACCGAAAATGTTGTTGAGCTGGGCAGTGGTGGCACACACCTTTAATCCCAGCACTTGGGAGGTAGTGACTGGCAAATCTCTGTGAATTCAAGGTCAGCCTAGTCTAGTGAGTTCCAGGATAGCCAGGGCTACACAAAGAAAACTTGTCTCAAAAAACAAAAAAGAAAGAAAAACAAAATATTTTTTGTTTTTTTGAGACAAATTTTCTGTTTTGTTGTTGTTTTGTTTTTTTCAAGACAGGGTTTCTCTGTGTAGCCTTGGCTGTCCTGGACTTGATTTGTTGGTCAGGCTGACCTCAAGCTCAGAGATCCCCCTGCCTCTGCCTCCCCAAGTGCTGAGACTAAGGCTGTGCACCACCACTGCTCAGGTCAGAAATAAAACATTGCTGATTCAAAGTATTTTACTCTTAACAATAAACTGCAATAACTCATTCTGTGTAACTACTAGTGAGAGAAAGGAAAAGAAAAGAATGCTTTAAGAGGTCACAGACCTATATGTGTTCCTGAAATGTGTCTCCTCTTCTGTAAAGGAGAACTCCTTAGTTTTAGCTAAGGGCACTAATGTAAGAGGCAAGAATGACTACAGGTCTTACTGACCTCTATTGACTTCTGCTATCAGCTGGAGATGGACTGCTTCAAAAATAAAACTTTAAGAAAGAAAAGGAAGTACCATGCACTGAGTAAACGTTTTTCACCCTGACTTCCAAATACTAATTTTAAAACATAAATATTAGGAGCTGGAGAGATGACTCAGTGGTTAAGAACAGAGAGGGTCTAGGTCAGTTTACAGCACCCATATGGTGGCCACAAGTGTCTACAACTCCAGTTCTAAGAGATCCAGCTCCTTCTTCTGACCTCTGAGACACCAGGCACATATGTGGTGCAAATTTGTTCAGGAAGGCAAAACACTCATACACATAATAACAACACTAAAACACAAAGCACCAGAGAAATACCACTGTTATGTTGGTACTACGTTTCTCAGGGTCTTTTATGGAAATAAGTAACTGTGTGACACAGGGACATGGAGAGGTGGAAGATGTCCTGGTTGTCTCCTTATTGTCTCTCATTATGTTTTTGTATTTCTTATCCCCTCCACAAATCCGATCATTCCTAGACATGGCCCACGCTTCCACAGCCAAGTACCACTCTGGCTGATGCCAGTCTCCCAGGACAGGGCAGACAACATGTCCTGGCACTCCTGAGGACTGTAGGGGGCCCTCTGTCACTGACATCCCTGGGATTACCCATTAGTTTGAGATCTTTACCCATAGTTCAAATAAACAATTTGTCCTCAACCTTAATTAAAAGTTGCTAACTGAAAAATAATATCACAAGCCGGGCACGGTGGCATAGGCCTGTAATCCCAGCACTTGGGGAGGCAGAAGTAGGTGGATCTCTGTGAGTTTGAGGCCAACCTGGTCTACAAATTGAGTCCAGGACAGCCAAGGCTACACAGAGAAACCCTGTCTCAAAAAAAAAGAAAAGAAAGAAAGAAAGAAAGAGAGAGAGAGAGAGAGAGAGAAAGAAAGAAAGAAAGAAAGAAAGAAAGAATGAAAGAAAGAAAGAAAGAAAGAAAAAGACTATGAAGATAGGAGACGCCACCACAGGGACCACAGCCCTCCCCCAGGGTCTCTCACACAATGCTGCTCTGCAGAACTCACACAGCAGTTTTCTGCCACCAAACTCTGAGGTTGCACGTGCTGAAAGAACAGGTATCCCTGGCTATGTGCTTATGTCAGGAATTACTATGCTCTAGAAAACTGGGTTGAGAACAGAAATGCTCTTTTTGTTAGACGCTGACTAGCAAACCTGCAAACAGTGCTGACACTCTGCTCTTGCTTTGTGAGGCAAGCTCTCACTCCACAGCCCAACCTGGCCTTAAATCTGAATGTAACCCTCTGGCCTCAGCCTCCCAAGTGCTAGGATTTCAGCTATGAGCCTCTATGCCAGTGGATCTCAACCTTCCTAATGCTATGACCCTTTAACACAGTGCCTCATGTTGTGGTGACTGTGACTCCCAGCCATAAAAATTATTTCATTGCTACTTCATAACTGTAATTTTGCTACTGTTATAAATTGTTATATAAATATCTGATATGTAGAACCTCAGGTGAGCCCTGTTAAAAGGGTTGTTTGACCCTGAAAGGGGTCATGACCCAGAGGCTGAGAACCACCAATCTATGCTCACTTTAATTTTCACACCTCTAACTAGCCTTAGGATGGCTTAAAAAAAAATGTAGCCAAGAGCTGAGGCGCAGCTGTGTGGTTACATGAACTCTTGGTTGCTACCCTCAGCATGCTCAAACAGAAACACGTGGTCAAGCATCTCTGCCCTTTAAATACAAACAAACAAAGCCCATCTCTCACGTGGGGCTCTTTGGAGAGCTGCTGAGCTGGAACTGCAGGCACGCTCTGACGCGTCTGCAGACACAGACTCAGTGCATCCGGGCACAGAACTAAGGAAACTTGGACACAGAGAGGCACAGAAACCCTTTCCCTGGTAGGATCAAGAACTCAGGGTTACTGGTTCCAAAGCCCAGCACTCTTTCCAGGAGACCACTGCTAGGGTTCCCTCACCTTGGCCGAACACTCAGCTCCACGATGGTCAGAGTAAATCTGGGGTGACTTATTGGGAGAAACCTAGAGAAAAAGAAATCAAGTCACTTCTTACTCTCTGTTAACACAATGATCCCAGGTCAGAACTCCTTCTACCCTATCCTATCCCAAATGGATTAGCCCCCAAAACACATACTACCATACGAGGCTGACAAAGATCCAGTGAAAGTCTTTAAGGACTGGCCCTGAAAAGACTTGACTTATAGATTCTATTTCCTGTTTCATTCTGGATGTCTGGAGAGGATGAATGACTTACTGGAGATCCTATACTTAATTCTTGAAATTAGTATGCCATCCATATTAATAGGCCAGATTTTGAACACCCCCCCCTTTTTTTCTTGTTATAGCAAGAAATTCCACTATGATGATACACAACAAGACTTGGAATAAGGGGCCATTGAGACAGCTTGTGTGTGGGCCTGACCACTTTAGGTCAATCCTCAGATCACACAGGGAGCAGAAGAGGTCTCTTCTAACTGCCATGCATGGGCCATAGTCTGTGTGTGCCTGTGAATGCACGTGCGTGCGCACACACAAATAATACAAATAAAAGATGTGCCGTGAAGGATATGCCATAAGAACTGCTGATATACACTGAAAAGAGCATGAAGTAGCAACCCACTATGCAGGTAGCATCCACGCTACCATTTTCCCAATGGCCTTCCAAGGCAGACTATGCCATTATTCTCACTTTACAAATAACAGAAATAACTCAGCAGTTAATCTGAAATTCAAAGTCCGTTCTAACTTTAAATCCACCCTTTAATTGCTACTTTTTTTTAATAACATACTAAAGGATTCTGACTGCCTTTTAGTTAACCAAGAGAAATTATCATTTACATGTAACTTTTTACGACCTATGCTCCCATCCCTCCTGTAACTGCCAGGCCCCTCAAAAGCCAGCCCAGTAGTCCAAAACCCCATACCTAGATGTCTTCACATCTCGCCCACCGATTACCCTCGCAGTGACTTTCTCCCCAACTTTCAGTGTGCTCATAGGAGAGGTGCCCACTGGAACATCATCTAGAATGCGGGAGGCGTGGATACAGCCAACGATGCCATTTTCTAGAGTCACAACAACGTGTGTGGCCTTCACAGACTTAATGGTCCCAGTGACTTTGTCCCCAATAGCTAAGCTATGCTTCCTTTTAGATTTCACAGGTATATCTGAGTTCCTGTCTTCCTCCTCTTTAACCTCAACTGTCTCTGAATCCTTCCCAGCTGGCCTCATGGTCCTCATAGAAGCTGGCCCTTCCACAGCCAAAATCAGACCGGTCACTCCTGGTTCTGTGGTCTTGAGGGTGAGGCAGACACCCTGCCCCACATGTAGCTTCTCAGAGTCAAAGTGGAAGGTATCGTTGAGGTGAGAGGTCAGGGAGAAACCCACAAGGTGGCCAGTGTCCACCAAGGAGGCCACAGCAAAGGACTCCTCCAGATGTTGCACGATGCCCTGGTATCTACTGCTTTTTCTCAGCTGGAAAAGAGAAAGTCATATTCACTCTCTTCCACACAGTGTGGTCATGTATTCCTGGACCCACATGGCAGTGCATGAAGCCCCAGACACCCAGGAGACTGGTTGTAAGCAACTAGCTTTCCCCCAGCAGAGATGGCCCTCCTTCCCTGCACACTTAGTTCCCAGCATCCCCAGAATCCTGTTGTAATAGTTCTTTTCTTTCAGAAAAGGTTTGCTATGTAATCCACAGTGGTCTAGAGCTCATACTATCCCTGCCTCAGTCTCCCTATTGCTGGGATTACAGGTATGCTAGCATGCCTAGCCTCAGTATTTTTGAACTTAAATTCCTATGTTCCATTCTAGAACTACTGAATCTGAGCTTTGGGGTCATTATGGTGAATCCGATGCACAGCTAAACGACTGCCAGTAGGCTTAGGATCGATCCTACCACAGTCCTTCAGTTCTTGGCCCATCACTAAGACAGTGGTCACTAACAAGAGCTCACTATGTGCGAAGCACTCCCTTCTGCTTGCCTCCCAATCCCGTTGCGCTCACTCTCTGCCTAAGCTTTACTCAGACGGTAAGACGGTAGGGTCCTACTACACAACAGAGTGAGAGCACTTGGGCACGGTGACATGTACCCGTCATGCCAGTATCTGGGAGGCTGAGATAAGACGAATTACTGAGAGTTCAAGGCCACTGTGATTTCTAGGTCAGCTTGGGCTATCCAGTGAGAAATGGTCTCAAAACAAAACCAACAATTAGCAACACACACGCACACAGTTGGGATAATGATCAAATGCAAGTGGAACATCTAACTGAAAAACCTGAAACCCAAATGCTCCCAAATCCTTGCTTTTGAGAGTTACTAGTATATGAGACTTCAGAAGTTTTACATTTCAGGCACTTCAGGTTTCAGATCTTTTGAATTAGGAATATTGAACCAGTGATATCTATGTAAGTATTTCAAAATGCTGAAGTCACCCAGCATACCCGGTATACATTTGCAATTATCAGCACCCAGGATATGGAAGGCAGCCAGTATTACAGAGGGAAAACTCAGTTCAAATAACAAAAACAGAAAAGTACAACCCTAAAAACCTTAAACACTTCTGTTCCCAAGCATTTCATTCTGAATAAGCAATACATAATCTGTACACCCTTATAGAAAACTTCTACAGATTTTGAGATTTTCTTCAAACCTGCTCTTTTAATTTTTTGGCTTTTTGAGACAGGGTTTCTCTGCGTAGCCCTGGCTGTGCTGGAACTCACTCTGTAGACCACCAGATCAGTCAAGAGATCTGCCTACCTCTGGTGGGGTTAGAGGAGTGCATCAGCACACCCATTTCTTACTGAGGCACTCAGTAATGAGCATGGACGAGCCGTCTGGACACCAGAAATGCCCAGACCGAGTTTGTTTAAAAAGTTATTTTTCAATGTTTTCAACATTTATTTCTAATAAAATCTAAATTCTGTCTTCTAAAAAATTGAAAGTATGAGCTGGGTGTGGTGCCGCACACCATTAATCCTAGACAGAGGCAGGCAGATCTCTCTGTGTTTGAGACCAGCCTGGTCTACAAGGTGAGTCCAGAATAGTCAAGGCTAAACAGAGACATTCTGTGTAGAAATAAAACAAAATAAAACCAAAGAAATTGAAAGTATGGTGATACAACACCTAGAAAAAAAAAAATTGCACTTGAGAGACAAAGGCAGGACTGAAGTGAATGCCAGATTGTCTTGAAAACTAACGAGGTAGGTGGGGATTGGTGTGAGGCGGACACCAACATACATTTAGTAACAGACCCAGAGAGCCCCCTGATAACAACTAGATGGAGCCAAACAGTCTGTCCCATGTGGGCCAGGCACACATCTGCCCGCTGTCTGGTTCTGAGTGCTAACACTCACTCCCTCATCGGTATGTCCTACTCACTCATTACAGTACCTGATTGGCCCTAAAGATAGGGGGATCATAAATCTGTCACCCTAACCAGCATGAAAATCTGTCCTATTGGCTATACCAGGACAAGAGGTAAAAACAAGAAATGTCCTAGAGAAACCAGGCACACAGTCACCCCAACTGCAAGTTCCCTGAGCTGTGAGTGTAGTGTAGAGGGCGAGATATAAAGCCACAAGATGGAAACTGTAAGTAAGCTTACCTTTCTAGTCTTCCTATTCACCAAGTCCTGCTGAAGGGAAACATGCACCTCCAACTTCAACATGTCCACATGCAGGACTACTACCTTCCGCTTCTGCCCGGGCTCTACCTCCTGGCCTGCAGTGCAGAACCAAGCACAGAACAGTCAGCCTTGTGGAAGAGGGAGAAGGAAGGCATCTCTCCGGGGGGCCCTCAGTCCAAAAGGCAAAGATGGCACATTTGCTACATTACATGGTCCCTATCTGTGGACCATGTAATATAGCTAGGACCATGACACATAGCTAGGACTGTGTTGGGCCCCAATTTATACAACCTAATAACCTAAAATCCCAACTTTACCCAAATACAATACAATACAATACAATACAATACAATACAATACAATACAA